GGCCGCGTCTCGTTGGGCCGCAAGTCCGAATTTGCCTTTTCTTTTTCCTGAGAAATTAGAAATAGTTATATCATTTTATTTCTGGGCTGATCTTTGATAATTAACATCAATTCATATAAGTGTCCAAAAATTATGAAATAAATTTTGTTGAGTTTCTAAAACTGTTGTCTATCTGATAGTATGGTTAGTTTATACATGTTTGTGTTGATGCTAAGGTCTATTAAATCATTTGAAAGTGTTTAATGTTATTTAGAATAATAATTGTAGGAATTTTTGTGGTAAATTGGTAATAGCTTTGGCCATGAAATTTTTACAGTAGATTCATTATATTATTATGTGCTTACTGTAATTTTTGTAGCCTTAGAATAGGTTGAGAAATATGGTAGCTAAGTACTCTTTGTTTTAGTATATATGAAATCGTAAAGAAAGTAAGAAATGCATTTTTGTTGCTAAGATAATACTTGAATGTTTCATGCCTGTTTAATGGAAAAGGTGGGTAGCTTAGCACCTTAGTCATTAGAGTTAGTTTAGCAACTTAGTGAAGATATTCTTTAATTTAAAAGCTATTGTTGTAAAAATGTTAAGTGTTACATCATTATTGCATGCATGTAAAGAACGCGTTGGTGGAGTTTGTGACCGCCGGAGAGCAAGCATACGAGGAGGTGATCGAGGAGTACGAGGAGGAGGTTCTCATACAGGAGGGAGCCCCGGAGCCATCAGTGACTGACTTTGCTGACACCCCCTGCCCCAGGCAAGTCCCGGTGCATAACCCTTATTTTGAATAATCACTATATATATGTGTGTGTGTGATGTGCATTTACATTATAGGCTTATTGTTGAAACTACATGCATAGATATATCTACCTATGAGTCCTACTAGCTTAGGTCGAGTAGCTTCTATGCTTAAGTTTTTCGCTAGCGTGAGGAATCTACCGTTACTCACAATAGGTGATTATTATTACTCTCATAATAAAATGGTGAAAGAAAAATGGAGACCGGACAGGGATATAGTATGGGTATTGGTGGGTATAATAGGTTGTGTCCCGCGGCCAACGGGGCATAGCTTAGTTACACTATTTTCTCTGTCCGTGTCGGTTAAGGACCATTCATTGCTGTGGATTCTAGTCAGGTCACAGACTTATTATCCTGAGCACATACTTGCTTATGGGAGCGAGAAGGCTCGTTGCTCTCTTGTCATGGGTTCGGCTCTTTCCGGACCGACTGATTGGAGGCGGGGATGGTGGAGGTCTAAACACCACACTGAGTCCAGGACTCAGGAGCGGGGGCTTGGAGTCCAAGTTTGGACGGAGACCTGGACCCCTTGACGGGAGAGTGGTGGTTTGGTCTTGCTTGTGCCTGGGGTACAAGCAGGGCGTGTGTTTCTGGGTACCCAGCTGTGATACATTGGTTCACGATTCGTTGTGTGATACGGTACGGCTTGGCTACGATCTAGCACCGTAGTAAGAATTGTAAGATAAAAGGGAATGAATGGACCTAATTGCTCAACTTTTGCTTGAAAGTAGAACATGTGCTTACATAGAATGGTTAGCTAATGAACTAATCATGACTGCTAACAAAACATACATAAGGATTCACTATTAGTAATGCTTTACGCAAAAAGAAAATCCAGCAAATCATAAAGCTTATCATATCCTTTGGAGTCGGAAAATTATTCCCACTAGTCGGGTAAGTCTTGCGAGTACATTGTGTACTCAGGGTTTATTTACCTCTGTTGCAGGTGCAGCTTGAGGAATGACTGTTGTGTGGAGGATTCTTCTGGTGGGCACAGACGGATCCTCGTATCTTATCGTTATATATTTATTTCAATTCCGCTGTTAAATTCCGCACTCTGAACTTGGTATTGTAATAATGTATTTTCGAGAACTCTTGTTGTATGAAATGGTCTAAATATTGTAAACTCGTTCTCATTATTGGATCCTGAATGAAAAACGTGGATTGTTCGAGTTCTCCCTTGGGGTGTGCTCGACGGAACCATCCGATGTAGTCAACTTTCGGGGTGCTTAGTGTCTAGTAGAAAATGAGCGTCTCTAAAAGCGTGCCATTTTGAGCGGTTCTGCCACACCATCTTCATCATTTCATGTGATCAATATCACCATTTGAGTGCCACCGTGCTCCTCACTTGGACTGCACCAACCTAGCTCATATCACAACTCATAACAAAGATTAGTGCATAGATTTCATCAATTATCCAAAACCGAACTAGGGCTTTCAAGTGTTGCTGCGCCAACAGGAGTGGCACGATAAGATTTTCCACGTGGCAATCGTAGTCCACTGTGGTAGATCATGCCGCGCCGATGCATGTTGTGCGGCAGCGTGTTTTGGCCGCGCCAGGGACTTAGGCGCAGCCAAACAGGTTATATTTAAAAATAAAAAAGCAAGGGTGTTAGATTTAGAATTTGTTTTAAAAGAAAGGTTAAAAAATCTCTCTGATTTCTCTAGGTCCAGCGTGGGAACGCTGATCCTCCTCTACTTCACGCTATCCATGAGCAGGGCGGACTACAGTAGCGGCGGCGGCAGCGCCAGCGACGCCCGGTGAAACGCCGGCCGTCGACAGCGAAGGGGGCATTTCGCCTGATCTGAGAATTTTCAAACCTGCAAAGGTTGAGAAGAATACCGTGGTCCAGGCATATATAAAAGAAAGGAGTGGTGCTTCGTGAATCTGAAAGGCCAATCTCATAGAGTGGAAGAACGACATCGAACGGCTGGGGATTTTTGATGGAGAAGTTTGTGATGGTAGACATCTTTGTTTCTTCTTTTATTCTCCCTCTCTCTTTTTTTGTAATTTTCTCAAAAAGGGATACATGTCACTTTACAAGGTAACAGATAGTACTGGATTTTTATTCTCCCATGATGCTAAAAGCACAACCAAACAAATTGTGATACATATCTTAACAGCGATAGCCAAGTCTGTGCTCGGATGCCGTTTAAACAGTGGTATATATATATATATATATATATATATATATATATCCTCGTTGAACCTTCCCTTAATGAACTACAACTCCTAATAATATGGGGTTCTCCTATAGTATTTAGCATTCAACATATAGAACGGTATTTTTCCTACTAAATGTCTCCTAGTTAGGATTCTTAAGTGCTAGAACTAGTACAGTGTTCTTATTAGTACAGTGTTCTTATTAGTACTTATAACACTAGAGGAATTCCACCATTTTAGTAGCGGACAAACAAAGAATGACGCGAATCACAAAGGATGATCCAAGATAATTTGGGACCCTCTATGCACTGTGGCACTAAGAGCAAGTCCAACCATAGAGCCAAGTATTTAGCTATTAGCCAAGTAGTAAGAGTCAAGCTATAAAATAGTAGTCTCTTATTCGTTCATAAGAAACTTTTTATTGTTAGTTTCACCCGTGTCTCACCTTCTCTTTCATAATCCTCCTCACGTGCACTTGTCTAGACCCACCATTATATAGGCTCTCGAGCCTAGCTTGTTGCTTACATTAGAGCTAAACTCTCCTCTCTTCTCTCATCCACGTCAATATCACTTGGCTATAAGACCATTATTGTACTTACTCTAATCTAGCCAGCTAGACTTATATAAAATTTGCCGAATTGAATAGGTTTACGGCTTTTGAAATTACTTCACCGAAGTAGAGTATATAGACTTAAACTCCGTAGCAAAGACCTTATGATACTCGACATAAGTGTTAACCACCTGACAGATAATCGTAGACTAGAACTGGAGCCACCCTGCAACAACACAAACGGATTTCTTAAGTTACTCAGTCTAATGCTAAAAATTTCATGTCAACCGACCGTCTATAATGAACACTGTTTTGGAAGCCTCGACAGCCTGACTTGCAACTCAACGGAAATAAGATTGACCATCTGCCATTTTTTTCTTAGAGGTGCGGTTGATCGAACCAACAGTTGCCATATTATTAGGCTTATTAGCGTACAATAAGCCTAATACATATCTTGTATCTTTCAGGTCTAAAACTCGTTTTCACTCAGTTGCAAGTATAGCCTATTTCTATGTAGTTGCATCAAATGGAAACAAATATCAAGTAGTAAGGATTATCTTAAGACCATTTCAAAGATCCTTATGCCAGCTCTTGAGTCTGCTACAGTTTCATCTCAACCAGACTTTCAGTGTCAAGATGTCTGTATCTCACTTCAGGGTGTTCCTGGTCCATCAGATAAACCCAAGCACACATACTACCAGAAGTTCATCCTGGTACTTTCAACCACATCCACAAGATGCTTAGTTCGAACAGCAACCAGAAAAAATTAAAACAGTAGAAAACAACATTCAACATTATGCGGTCATTGTAATGGCATCGGGACCAAAAAGAGCAAGATCTATCAAGCTAAATGAACAGTAACAGGAAAAACTGAACACAGGACTTGATAAAGAAACAGCAAAAGAAAAATTAGCCAAAAAAAAAAAAACCCTGAAGGCATCTGATCTTCAGGTTGGGTACAAACGCATTTTGAACTCCTTTTGGGAAAGATTAGCCAATCTAATTCAAAAGTGCGTATTTTTTAACCCAAAAAAAAATCAAACAATACTATGGGCGAATACTTGAAAAAACAAAAGTGAGCATCCGAGCGCCTTGAAAAATCCTTGTTCAGGAGGAAAGTTAGAATGTTCAGGTCCACATGTAATGATTTGTCCCTGCCACCCAGACAACTAGAAGCTTTGTGATCATTGGGTTGAGTTTCCTGCAGGAGATAATTACTCTAATTTTCTGGTGATTTGCACAAAGGCAGTTCACCCTACTATTTTATCTGACATAGAAATTCTCTAATGACCAAATACAGTGAGGCGAATAGAAGGTCGTAAATACAATATACATTTGTTTCTGCTGCGCTAAACTTCAAGTTATCTTTAAGATACAAACGCCACCTAGAAGGTGGTCCAACAAAAAAAAAACATAAAGGCTATGGTGCTTGACACGGAGCTTATCAAAACATGCACACATTACAAGGTGTAATAGAAGGGATAGAACACAATGCTAGTACCGTTTTGATATGCGTGGCATGGAGTACTTCTGTTTCCTGTCAAGGTAAATCCTCACAACGACAGCAGCTGTTTCCTCTATAGCTTTTCCAGTGACCGCTGCATGAAAACAGTATGAAAGCATGTTTTTAAACAAAGAAATAACAAACAAAAGGTTTCATGGATACAACTAGACTTACCAATGACTGGCCACATTGCATTTTGAGCAAAAATTTGATTTGCATGGAGCAGTTCCTGCCTCACATGATCCATTTCAGCATAATTGCTCTGCCCATCACCAAAACCTAGAGCTTTGGCCCTAGTCTTTCTAATTGCTTGAAGAACCACTGGGTTTATTGTCAATCCAAAAATCTTGTCTTGGCTGATCTCAAAAAGGGATTTTGGAAGATTCACTCCCATCACAATTGGGACATTTGCTACCTTGTATCCCTTTTGGGCTAGATATATTGACAATGGTGTCTTCCCTGTACGTGAAACGCCGGCAAGTACAATGTCTGCACGGTTGAGGTTCTCTGGCTGTGCCCCATCATCTTGTTTGATGGTAAAATCGATAGCATCAATCCGTCGAAAGTAATCCTCTGTTAGCTGACACGGTCGACTAGGAGAGCTTCGTGGAATTCCAGATGGAGCAACACCCATATGAGAAGCAATGGCTTCAACAGTAGGCCGAAGAACATCAGTGGATGGAACACCCCAGAAATCGCAGGCCTTCTTAGCTGACTCGGCCATTGAAGGATCAGCAAGGGTATATAGAACCAGTGCCCCTTCCTTTGCTGCTTGCTTTATTACCTCAAGAATTCGATCCATGTCGTTAATCTACAGAACATTATCAGAAGCTGTTACTTACAAAAGATGCAGCCTATTACTAAAAAGTGATGTGCAGCTAACATTTTTCAAGCCAACGCAGGTAGAAAAGTGGATAACTAGCATCTAGTCGGGATTTTCCTGAGAGAAGAATATGACAAACATCTGCTTTTCTCCAACAATATGATCAACACAAACAGACAAAAAAAAACTAGTCATGGCAATAAAAACCTTTGCCATGTTCGTTTGGGCTTGTTTGGCTTATAAGCCATGGCTGAAAGTATTGTTGGCTGGTTTGGTGTGAGAGAAAAATATTGTTCGTTGGCTGATAAGCCATAGCTTATAAGCCAAATACGACCAAACGAACATGCTACTTATACGTTGATAACTAGTATCCCAACGACCCAACTACCTGATACATAGTTGCCTCTGCACAAACAATTATTAATGTGAGTACAGGACCGAGACAAAATTTTAACCAATAAAATAAATAGATATGCATGAAGAAACCTTGCAGTTATGAATTTGCACAAAACTTCTGCCTCTACCGTCTACCCCAGTACATGATCCATATGCATACCCTTGGAGATTGCGAATTTATCTTCACTCAAAGAAAACGTCCAAAACATGAAATTTCTGTATTACAAATAAATTATCCCTCAAATTGAGAAGTTGTAGCATAGCACAGTAATTGATAGTAGTTGTACTATAATGAACCTGAAAATAGATCAAACTTGTGCACATATCACTACAGAGCAGGGTGCCATTGTATTCCCAGGGTGTTAAATTCCATCCGTAAAGCTAGCAGTCAACGATTTGTCCTCGAAGATCTGGCTCTTCCTCAGTTTCATTTCTCCAAATTAGCATTTCACGTTCAGTTATTCAGTTACACTTGTGGCGTCATCCATATTTACAGCTACAGTCCAAAAACTGCAGGGCCCTTAATTGGCTAACTCGGTAATTAGATTACAAAACTGAACATCTTCCATGATAATTGATAACTACTCACTCTGTCAGCAGTTAGCACACCATGAACGTACTTCGAGCTAAAAAAAAAGTACTTGAAGGCATGGCGAGATATTTACCATGGAGAAGAGGTGGGTGTTGACAGCACAGCCGCGGTCGACGAAGCAGTGCTCGAACTGTCCGAGCGCGGCGCTCACCGAGTGCTCCGCGGTCCACCCGGTCCCATCCGACACTATGTAGATGGACTTCCCGTTCGACACGACGTCGTCCTCGCCATCCTCCACCGCCACCGCAGCGTCCTCGGGCCGCGACGTCTTGGTCACCGGCGGCGCCGAGGCCGAGGACGAGGCCGAGGAGAGCACCGAGCGGTCCAGTCCAGGCCGGCGGTTCGACCGCAGCGTCCGCAAGCGGGACCACCGACTGAGCTGCGGGCTCGCTCGCCGCGCGAGGGACGAGGCGACCTCATCCGGGCGTGGTGGCGGGGCGACGTCAGACTGAGACTGGCCTGGGCTCTCGACGGCGCGGGTGAGAGCTGGAGAGGAGTCAGGGGCGCAGAACAATGGGGCGAGGCGGCGACCGGCGGGGGACGGCGGCTGCAGCGGCGCCGCGAGCGGCCTGGCGCTCCCAATCATTGAGCTAGGTGAGGCTGAGGGCGGCGTCGAGTCCAGCGGTCACGAGAAGACGCCTTTCACTGTTCGCCCGCGTGGGTGGACGACGGACGGGAGTAGTCAGAGAGGAAACGATTTCGCGTTGCTTTCGCTACCAGTAGTGGTGTTCTGTGGCACTAGGAGGAAGTCCAACGATAGAGAAGTGATTGGCTACTAGCCAACTCGTAAAAAGTCAATCTATTCAATAGCAGTCTTTTATTTGTAACCATGTCTCACATCTTATCTTGTATCTTATATATATCTTATATCTTATATTATATTTTATATATATCTTATCTTATATATCTTATATATATTCTTATAAAGCAAAACCCCACTAGCTATTTTTCTTAGCATGCAAGTTGTCCAACTAGGCAATACACTGTCACATACAATTAAAATCCACTAAACAAAACATCACTATCTATTCATCTCAACATTAAAGCTGTCCAGCTAGACAATGTACTATCATATACAATTAAAATCCATTACATGCAACTATGATGTCCATATTAGCAAGACACAAGTATTTTGTTATCCACATCATCATACCACGCAATCCACTAATCCGCAATTCCCATAGCAACGCGCGGAGTATGCTTTTAATTCACTTAATGTTTGAACCCAGCACTACATAGACTCTCGCATCCAGCTTGAGAGCCAATCTCTCCTCTCCCTCCTCTCTTCTCTTCTCTACATCGGTATTTGTTTGGCTATACTAATCTAGCCAGCTAGACTTTTAGATAAAATTTGCCGGATTGAATAGGTTTATGGCTTTTCAAATCACTTCAGCCAAGCCGAGTATATAGACTTAAAACTCCGTACCAAAGACCTTCTAATACTCGATATGAGTGTTAACCACCTCTGACATCGTAGACTAGAACTGGAGCCACCCTGCAACAACACAAACGGATTTCTCTAGTTACTCAGTCTAATGCTAAAAATCTCATGCTACCTGTCTAGAGTGAACACTGTTTTGGAAGCCTCGACAGCATTACACTAGCAACTCAACGAAAATTGCATTTTTTCGAGAGGTGTGGTTGAATGTTGATTGACACCAACAGTAAGCATAGCTGTTCAGTCAAAGCAATCTTGTTTTTGGGTCGATGGACCCCCTAGCTTCATTCCTGAAGCCCTAGTGAACGATGTAACATTGTTTTCAAATCAATAAAATGCGCCAGGTACCTTCCCTAAAAAAACAGTAGCCATATCTTGTATTTTTCAGGTCTAAAACTCGTTTTCACTCAGTTGCAAGTATAGCCTGTTTCTATGTAGTTGTATCAAATGGAAACAAATATCAAGTAGTAAGGATTATCTTAAGACCATTTCAAAGATCCTCATGCCAGCTCTTGAGTCTGCTACAGTTTCATCTCAACCAGACTTTCAGTGACTAGATGTTTGTATCTCACTTCAGGGTGTTCCTTGTCCATCAGATAAACCCAAGCACACATACTACCAGAAGTTCATCCTGGTACTTTCAACCACATCCACAAGATGCTTAGTTCGAACAGCAACCAGAAAAAATAGAAAGAGTAGAAAACATCATTCCACATTATGTGGTCATTGTAAAGGCATCGGGACCAAAGAGCAAGATCTACCAAGTTAAATGAACACTAACAGGAAAACTGAAACAGGACTTGATAAAGAAACAGCAAAAGAAAAATCAACAAAAACCAATGGCATCTAATCTTCAGGTTGGGTACGAACACATTTTGAACTCCTTTAGGGAAAGGTTAGCCTATCTAATTCAAAAGTGCGTATTTTTTAACCAAAAAAATCAAACAATACTATGGGCGAATACTTGAAAAAACAAAGGTGCGCATCCGAGCATACTGCCTTGAAAATGCTTGTCAGGAGGAAAGTTAGAATATTCAGGTTCACATGTAATGATTTGTCCCTGCCACCCAGACAACTAAAAGTTTTGTGGTCATGGGGTTGAGTTTCCTGCAGGAGATATATTACTCTAATTTTCTGGTAATTTGCACAAAGGCATTTCACCCAACTATTTTACCTGGCATAGAATTTCTCTAATGACCAAATAAAGTGAGGCCAACAGAAGGTCATAAATGCAATATACATTCGTTTCTGCTGCACTAAACATCAAATTATCTTTAACATACAAACGCCACCTAGAAGGTGGTCCAACAAAAAAAACATAAAGGCTATGGTGCTTGACAGTTGACACGGAGCTTATCAAAACATGCACACGTTACAAGGTGTAGTAGAAGGGATAGAACAAAATGCTAGTACCGTTTTGATATGCGTGGCATGGAGCACTTCCCTTTCCTGTCCTGGAGAATGCTCACAACAACAGCAGCTGTTTCCTCTATAGCTTTTCCAGTGACGGCTGCATGAAAACAGTATCAAAGCATGTTTTTAAACAAAGAAACAACAAACAAAAGGTTTCATGAATACAACTAACTTGACTTACCAATGACTGGCCACCTTGGATTTTGAGCAAAAATTTGATTTGCATGGGCCAGTTCCTGCCTCACATGTTCCATTTCAGCATAATTGCTCTGATACCCATCAACAAAACCTAGAGCTTTGGCCCTAGTCTTTCTAATTGCTTGAAGAACCACTGGGTTTATTGTCAACCCAAAAATCTTGTCTTGGTTGATCTCAAAAAGAGCCTTTGGAAGATTCACTCCCATCACAATTGGCACATTCGCTACCTTGTATCCCTTTTGAGCTAGATATATTGACAATGGTGTCTTCCCTGTACGTGAAACGCCGGCAAGTACAATGTCTGCACGGTTGAGGTTTTGTGGCTGAGCCCCATCATCTTGTTTGATGGTAAAATGGATAGCATCAATCCGTTGAAAGTAATCTTCTGTTAGCTGACCCTTTCGATTAGGAGAGCTTCGTGGAATTCCAGATGGAGCAACACCAATATGAGAAGCAATGGCTTCAACAGTAGGCCGAAGAACATCAGTGGATGGAACACCCCAGAAATCACAGGCCTTCTTAGCTGCCTCAGCCATTGAAGGATCAGCAAGGGTATATAGAACCAGTGCCCCTTCCTTTGCTGCTTGCTTTATTACCTCAAGAAGTCGATCCGTGTTGTCAATCTACAGAACATTATCAGAAGCTGTTATACTTACAAAAGATGCAGCCTAATACCAAAAAGTGATGTGCATCTAACATTTTTCAAAGCCAACGCAGGTAGAAAAGTGGATAACTAGCATCTAGTCGGGATTTTCCTGAGAGAAGAATATGACAAACATCTGCTTTTTCTCCAACAATATGATCAACACAAACAGACAAGGAAAAAAACTAGTCATGGCAATAAATAACATAATGTGCGTTGATAACTAGTATCCCAACTGCCCGATACATAGTTGCCTCTGCATAAACAATTATTAATGTGCGTACAAGACCGAGACAAAATTTTAACGAACAAAATTTCCAGTTCTAAAGTGATCTCGTAACACTAGTACCGTAACAGATTTGTCCTCCAAGATCTGGCTCTTCCTCAGTTTCATTTCTCCAAATTAGCATTTCACATTCAATTATTCAGTTACACTTGTGGCATCATCAAAATTTACTGCTACAGTCCAAAATTGGCAGGGCCCCTAATTGGCTAATTCGATAGTTAGATGACAAAACAGGACATCTTACATGATAACTACTCACTGTGTCAGCAGTTAGCACACCATGATCGTACTTCCAGGAAAAAAAAGTATATGGAGTCACGGTATGGGCCAAGACTCCAGGAGAAGGCATGAAGACCAAGCGGCCCAGGAAGCCAAACCAACGCGCCGTTGGCCCAGAATGGAAGAAGTAAGACTTAGCCTAGCCCAGCTGCGTCTGGTGTACGCTGTGTCCACAGCTGTAACAGAGAAATAGCTATTTAGGAAGGAGAGGAAGCTAACTGGAATCCAATTTGGTTGGCGGCGAGCTGAGGCTCAAGATTTGCCGGCGACTACCTATTCCGCCATAGTTTGTATCTAGATACATATTTCCAGTTCTAAAGTGATCTCATAGCACTAGTACCGTAACATCTGGTATCAGGATTCAGCTCGATCCAAGGAGCCTCACCACCGTGCCGGAGGGAGCCTTACCAACTCGTTTGGAGTTCATGCCACCATGACGACGGAGGAGATGTTGGCCAAGATTCTAGCAAAGCTGGAGGAGATGAACGCCCAGTGGCACAGCCCCACTGAGCAACCGACGCCTTCGCTGCCTCCCTCGACCTCCATCCTCACCACCGACACAGAGGAATGAGAGGCCAGCGCTCCCACCATCTCGACCAAGCCGGCGATGACCTCCTCGGCGTCGCTCATGCCTTCACCGACCTCGGCACCACCGCAAGACGCGGATCCCGGCTTCCAGTCGGGCGTCGACCGCCTCAACCGCCTCCCCGACTCGCTCCTACGCGACATCGTCTCTCGCCTCCCCATCAAGGACGCCGCTCGCACGGCGGTGCTCTCCCACCGCTGGAGCCTCATCTGGCGCGCTGCCCCGCTCCTCACCCTCGATGACTTCCACCGCTACCTCTTCTCCCACGACCTCAACCCGCCCAAGCCCAACCTCAGGCACCTCGGCCTCCGTTTCCACGGCTTCGAAGGGCCAGTGCCCAGCGAGCTCTTCGACCGCCCGCCCGCCGCCCAGGCCCGCATTGGCTTCCCCTCCGTCGATTTACTTCCAGCCCGGGACCCAGCGCGCAAGGTTGCGGCGAACCTCTTCGCCGTGCAGCGCGGGGCGCGGATCATCTACGACGCCAACGCACGCAACGCCGTCCTGGGTAACAACCCCGCCACCAGCAACCTGGTGAAGGCCTCCTCGGCCTCACCCACCCCTTCCCTAACCTCCACTCCAAGCCAGGAAGCGACTCCTGCCTTCCAGATTGGCACCACCGAGCTCCTCTATGCCTCGCCCACCAGGTGCTCGACGCTGGGTCTCTACAACATCGCTAGTGTTCCGGTGTCTGTGACCAAGTCCTTGGCATCGCCATCAGCTTCCTTGGCTTCGATCCCACCTCACAACATTGCTACCGACACCCAAATCACTTGGAGCGAACACCTGCAGACCACGCACGCCAGAGGCATATATGAATATGCCAAGGTGAAAACAGTATCGTTGAGTGGCTGCTACTCTACCGACACCAGCAACATCATTGTTGAATTTGTAGCATGTGATGATCTCCAAACTACAGACATGCTGCACAGTCACCTGTTAGATATGTTCATGGCCTTTAGCAATCCACCAAGTACTAGCAATGCCAGGCTTCAGCAAGGTAGTAAGATGTCAAAGCCTCCATGGTTTCAGTTTATTGATTTGGCTAGATCATGGTCTGAGAAGACACTTTTGACTGATGGATTTCTGCTTGAGTCCTCACCCTGGCACACTCTCAATCTGGGTTTCAATCCATCTACTTCACCTCACAAGCTGCAGTGGTTTCAGTTTCTTCAAAGTGCTGCACAAGTTGACGAGGGCAACAGAAAAGCAGCTGTTGACCTATTTCTGTCAAATTTTTCTCAGATTTGGCTTTTCACTGAGATACTAGCTGTAGGCATGTCTATGCTCTTGAATGGGGGATTTTATTTAATCACATACTTTTGGATTAAGCATCAGATAAGTTTTCCTGATCTATCTCCATCCTCAGAAAATTACAGAGTTATTTCTAGATTGTACAAGCCTAGTGCTCTTGGTGCCCTCATGTTAGTCACAAGTTATACCCATCATGTGCTTTACAAATTGCTCTCTGGAGTCTCATGGAAATTTGAACCTTGGCCACCACCTATTCAAAGATTATGCATGCACTTGGTTAGCAGTTACGTTTTTCAGCTAGAAGGAGAACTATGCACAGCTTGATTTGAAGGAGGGCAACTTAACTCATGGGCATTGCCAGTTGCTGAAATATGCTATTGGCTTTATGGTACTTGCAAGTCAGATGGCTTCTGGAAGTATTAAAAATGGATGATTAATAGCACAGGTTAATCTATGGCTACTCTGGAATAATATAAGTGCATATCAGTTGTACAGTCCAACAGGAGTGCAATCTATGCTTGTGTGGCTGCTACCTTACAAGGAAAATGTGGAGTTAGTTTCTGTTGCAAGCAGCAAGGATACTCGTTCGGTCTGGGCATTGCTTCTGATTTTTGCTAGTACCCCATCAAAGAAAGTCGACCAATCATTCATGGTGGTTCAAGTGCTCGTGTTCCAAGCAGGTTGTCGGTGTCTGATTGTATGCAGAAATAGTTGTGGGTCTATAAAGGGTTATGACCAGCTTGAGATGGAGAGGGGCCCAGATCTCATCAGCACTTACATTTTGGAGGTCTCGAAGACCTTACAATGTTGCATCAGCTTGGGATTTTTACAGACTTCAGTGATTCTGTTGATACATATTGGACTCCACATGACATCAAGTATACTGAAGCAGTTACAAGGGTGCAAATACAGAGGATATGCTGGCAGCCGCAACAGCTCAAATTACTAGAGGTAAACAAGAACATCACTGAAAATTCAGAAGAAAGACAACCCAGACTTTGGATTTCTTCCCAATTCAGTCAACATGATGTGTTTGTGTACCTGAGAACCCCTATGACCTACATGATGAGTGAGTTATGGGTGCAAGCTTATCTTCATTCAGTTCAGGACATACATCGGTCAATTACTTGCCAATCAACTATCCAAGCAATCTGTATCGACATTGTTGAAGGAGCAGTGAGAGCTGATAGTATTGCATACCAGACACTTATCTATCCACCCATATTGCACTACTGAAGAAAGTAGTAGAGTACCATCTTCCATGAGAAAGGAACAGAGTCGTTACTCAAATTCTAGTCAAGTGAGCTGGACTACTAGTTGACATATCCACTTGGGAAGATGCAGATCAAGTTTCACGGAAGCTAACTTCACCAACGGCTTGGGGACAAGCCGTGTTTCAAGGAGGGGGGAATGTCACGGTATGGGCCAAGACTCCAGGAGAAGGCATGAAGACCAAGAGGCCCAGGAAGCCAAACCAACGCGTCGTCGGCCCAGAATGGAAGAAGTAAGACTTAGCCTAGCCCAGCTGCGTCTGGTGTACACTGTGTCCACACCTGTAACAGGGAGATAGCTATTTAGGAAGGAGAGGAAGCAAACTGGAATCCGATTTGGTTGGTGCCGGAACTGGCGGCGAGCTGCGGCTCGAGATTTGTCGGTGACTACCAATTCTGCCGTAGTTTGTATCTAGATACATATTTCCTGTTCTAAAGTGATCTTGTAGCACTAGTACCATAACAGATTTATCCTCCAAGATCTGGCTCTTCCTCAGTTTCATTTCTCCAAATTAGCATTTCACATTCAATTATTCAGTTACACTTGTGGCATCATCAAAATTTACAGCTACAGTCCAAAAATTGCAGGGCCCCTAATTGGCTAATTCGATAGTTAGATGACAAAACAGGACATCTTCCATGATAACTACTCACTCTGTCAGCAGTTAGCACACCATGAACGTACTTCCAGCACACAAAAAAAGTATATGGAATCATGGCGAGATATTTACCAAGTTGAAGAGGTGGGTGTTGACAGCGCAGCCGCGGTCGGCCAAGCAGTGCTCGAACTGTCCGAGCGCGGCGTTCACCGAGTGCTCCGCGGTCCACCCGGTGCTGTCCGACACTATGTAGATGGCCTTCCCGGCCGCATCGTCCCTCTCGGCCACGCACACGTCGTCGTCCTCGCCATCCTCCACCGCCACCGCAGCGTCCTCGGGCCGCGACGTCTTGGTCACCGGCGGCGCCGAGGCCGAGGCGGAGGAGAGCGCCGCGCGGTCCAGCCCCACACGGCGGCCCGACCGCAGCGCCCGTGACCGGGACCACCGGTCCAGCCCCACACGGCGGCCCGACCGCAGCGCGTGGGACGTGGCGGTCTCATCCGGGCGTGGTGGCGGGGCGCCGTCAGACTGAGACTGGAGAGCTGGGGTGGTGTCAGGGGCGCAGTACGAGGGGGCGAGGCGGCGACCGGCAGGAGACGGCGGGCGGGCCTGCAGCGGCTCCGCGAGCGGCTTGGCGCTCCCAATCATTGAGCTAGCTGAGGCTGTGTACAAGTACATATTATCCAAAAAGATGCAGAGGCTGCGGGACCTTGGTTCCGTTATCTAAAAAGCTGAGGCTGAGGGCGGCGGCGAGCCGGCGACTCCAGCGGTCCCGATACGAAGACGACGATGCCTTTCACTCTTCGCCCGCGTGGGTGGACGACGGCCACGGGAGTGCTTACTCCAACAAGGAACACCTTCTAAACTCAAAATAAGATACTCAAGATTAGTCTTCAACACAGTATTTATATACGAGATCTATTTTAGTTGAAAGGTACGATCTAAATATAGACATTCTTTCTTTTTGAAAACCCATTTGTAGAAATAATTTTTTTTTAGGTTTCGTTGTTGGAGAAAATGTCGAATATATATTAAATATTTTGCCTATAACACTATAAGAATGAATAGGTCTTATATTTTGGGTGTCGTTAGCCTTACATAGCAAAACGGTTTCGCGTTGCTTTCGCTTCCAGCGGTGGCGGGGCGAAGCTACGTGCCTGATCGGGCTGAATGTTGCGCTCGTCTGGGCCTAGTTGGGCTTCTGCTTTGCCAGCGACAGTTTGTAGACTGTGATTTGTTTTTTTTCCATGAGTCACCGTTTTGACCGTTCGATCTAGATCCAACAGCCCAGATCTGCGCCCTTCTCTCGCTTTCGCCTTCCTCCATCGTCCTTCTTCGACGCCCGAGTGCCCGACGCCTTCGCCACCACCGCCTGCGAACCTCCCGCGGCCTCCGACGCTGCTAACCGCTCGACGTCCCGCCACCTCCGCTGGGCGCGCCTCCAGTCTCCACCGCCGGGCCGGCGAGCTCCCGGCGACCTCTCTAAGCCCGGAGACCTCAGCTAAGGTAACCCCCCAAATTCAAATCTCTAGTGTAAATCATGGTGACTGATCACTTGCAAATTCTCAGTCACTTGAAGAGGAGTAAAACTCAGATGTTCAACAGGGTGCCCATGGAATGATTCGAAGACGGCACCACTTCCCGCGTGTTACAGCCTTCACCTTCGTCTTGCACATCTCTTTCACAGCGACGAGCTCTCTCCTCTCCTAGGGTTTAGGGTTTAGACTCAAACCCCTTCTCCAAGATCCGCCATGGCGTCCGCATCTCGAGTAAGCCACAGCCTCTCCTTTCCTCCATGCAAAATCTAGTGTAGCAATTTGTCTCTGAATCATGTTTTCTCCGGTCCATCACACTGTCCGGTATCGGGGGAAAATTTGGCGGTTGGATGGGTTCCTTTTACTCATAACACTCTAAGAAATAAGATGATGTGTTGCATTCATTTAAAGTGATATTCAGCGCCTTGGTTTTCTAGGTGAGGCTTGGCACTCTAGTCCCCCTTACCAAGGACAATGCTGGCTCATCGAATGGATCTGTATCAAGCATTCCCATATTCCAGGGGTCCAATGTAGTCGGGAGGGATCATTTGGTTGTCGTCGACAAGAGGATCAGCCGCAAGCATCTGAGCCTCCATGCCTCCACTGACAGCTCCATTGAAGTAGTAGTGGTAAGGGAAAATGTGGGGGGTTGTTGATGGTGCCACATCATTGAACGTATTTATGTCTTTATTTGTTTAATGTAATGGTGCCACATCATTGTATTTCGACGGCTTTTGATTGAGGAGATAAGAAGTTGTATAAGTTCTATGTTAATGGATTTTCAGGAAGGTCCAAACCCTATAATGGTGCGGTCGAAGGGGCAGAGGTTGAAGGTTTGTGCTAAAGAGAAAGCCAAGATTGCACATGGCGATGTCCTGGAACTGATTCCTGGTGACTATTTCGTGAAGTATGTGGACATGGGTGATGAACATAAAAGTACTGTACCAATGAATTTGAGCGACTTAAAGAAGGGTAAGAGGCATAGTGAGGAAGATAGTGCAGCAGTCAAGAGGAATAGACAGATTATGGAAGATGAGGCTTTGGCAAGAACACTACAGGTTAGCTGATGTTCTAGTTTTCTTTCCAATCCATTCGTGTACTGTTTGTTTGTCTGACAACAGGACAACACATGATATTAGTGATAATTATTTTGGAATGTTTTCCTATTGTTATTAGCTGAATTTAATTGATTTGAGTGTCTGCTTAATTGGGGCAGTACTTGGATAACACTAAAACTAGTCTTAGTGAAAGATGTAGCAGGCTTGAAAAACAAGGGACTTGCCAATGCTTACTTCTGTTATTCCCTTTGTTGTGTTTATAAACTAGAAGCAGTTATTCCAAAACTGTTGCAACCATATAGATCAGGAGCTATCTTTTTATTTACTGATACTGCTAACAGAAATAAAGTTATACATTAATCCAATGTGCCTGAAATAAAATGTCACAACGGGTGTATTTGAGTTATTACTGTTTTAGGTCTAAGTTCAATGATGAATATCTTGATATAAGGTCTGCAAACTATTTTCTTTTTTGTAATATAGGATTTGATGCATTATCTTTCTTGCTCTGCAAAGTTCCAATGAAACATGAGTGCATGTACGGGTGACTTTGAGCTATGGTATGGTAGTTCCTTTTCCTTTTTGTGCACCTCACAAACAGTTTTCTATTTTTCCACTTATAAACTAAGAATGAAAGTGACGAGTGGAGTAATGAAGGAAGGCTGGAAAGGAAATTTAATAAAAAAAAATTCTACCGTAATCATAACACTACACATGAGTGTAAATCCTTGTGTTTACGATTGATAATTTGATTCGTTGTGCATACACGTGCTCTGTGCACCTTTCCTTGCTGACTGGTAGAGTTCACTTGTATATTGGCAGATGGGCTTTCCTTGTGTAAAATCACAGTGCACCATCAAATTATGCTGTGTCCTATCTAAACAGGAAAGCTTCGCAGAAGACGACACAGCTGTTTCTGGCATGACTTCTGTCCAAAAAATAAGTTCACATGACAGTGCTGGTTCTTCTGGAAGAAATAATGAGAGAACACGCTCTGTTGGTCCTTTGAAAGATATTCTCCCATTGACTTTTCGGCTCATGCGTGTCCAAGGTCTTCCATCATGGACTAACACTTCCTCAGTTAGCATTCAAGATGTCATTCAGGTATTGCTCATTTATCCAGCATGAACTCTTTGATAGAATATGTTTGACCAATTCATCTCATTCAACATGCCAGTGCTGTTAAGATAAACGTTTGCTAGTGACGTAACTGTTGCATAAGAACCAATTCCTACCTTTTAAATAGCGCATGAAAGAACTTTTGTGCATTATGCTTTCGTTACCATCACTGATTCACTGTGTTCAAGCGGAACCTTTGTGATGCAAATACAAAAAAAAAGCACTTCTGTGCTGCAATGTTCAATTATTTACTGGCGTACTGCACATTTCTTTCATGTTATTGTATTTAATAATGTACTGGGCCTTTCTTCCATGTTATTTCAGAACCAATTCTTGAAGAAATGCTATATGCTTACATTGCCTAATTTGCTGAGAAGTATAGTAGATTTTACTTCTTACATCTGAATGGATTCTTAGGGTGAAGTGCTTCTTGCTGTACTCTCAAATTACATGGTGGATATTGACTGGCTGCTTACTGGTAAGTTTGTTATAAGTGTATAAGGTTGTCTATTTTCCAAATAGCTGATTTTATCAAATTTTTAGCTGTTCATTTTTCAAAATAAAAGAGAACCGTGTGTTCGTACAAAAATGAAACATTGAAGCCATCTATGTGCTAGGGCAATGTGGTATATATTGTTATCATGCTCTATAGTGAAACACATTTGTTCAACTTATTATAATTTCCAAATGTTTTATTTGTACTGCAAAACAATGTATTGATGGTAGTTTGAACATGTCTCCTTGTAATTTTTTTACTGTAAATCGCCACATTTCTCACTTACTTAGCTTCACTACAGATAGATTTTCTCCCAATGCTTTGTCTATGGTGGACTATCATATTTATGACTTTTAAGTGTGTGGTAGCAAGTCCCCAGGTACTAGTTGCAAACTCAGATAGTCAGATTTGAGCTAAAATCATATGTTCGTAGATTTTTTCCCCTTCCCTCCAAATCGGGCAGTGTGTCATTTTGTTCAGCCAGCTGGCAATTTGAGTTCTAGCTGGAGTATGAACTATGAAATACCGCCTGCAAGATAAATACTGTACATCATGCATTATCACCAAAGAGTGGGCCTATTATTCTTATAAAAGGACAGCAGGGCACTAAACAGTGAACTATGCAGCTGATGAAAGTGCAAACCAGACAGATACATAACTCAAGAGTAATCCACTACAGCCAGGCAAAGTCAACCAGAAATATTATTCCATGCAAACCTTTAGAGCATCTTGGGTTCCATTCGAACAGCGCTGATGTATTCAAGAAACTGTCGATAACACTTGTCTTGCAATCATGCGTACACCCATTTAGCATCCATCATTCAAAGCCCTGAAACTGGGATCATTCAGAGATCTTAAATCAAATGAAGATTGACCAATTAATATTACAGCCAGTTCAGATATCTGAATCTTAACCAATTAACAACAGTTTTAAAATGAGATATTAACATTTGTTAGATGTAAGGAGACTACAGATACCTATCTGGAAAAACGAGAGACAGAATCAACTAGAAGTCAAGAAAGTCAGATGGATAGTGGGGTTAGTCGCTTGCCCAGTTGCCCCTGTCCATATCTGGAGTCTGGACAGTTGGAGATGTGGCAGGATGCAAATAGTGGGAAGTCTAGCACCATCAAGGTAGTGTTTGATAATGAGGATGGCAAACTGGCCAGAAAGTGAGTGGTTAGAAATTTGGTCACATCAATTGGCTGTCAGTGAGTGCAGATGAGGATAAAGCAACAGTGTGAAGCTAACTGTGAGTCCAACTGCATTAGTAGTGGTTGCGGTACCATTGGACGCTGGGGCTGGTGCTGGGCTACTGTACTTGAGGGAAGGGATGTATCTGAAGTTGGTTATTTGTTGTGTCACATGAGCCTACAAGAGTAGTAGTTAGTGTTAGAATTAATTACTCCTTTACTGTAATCTCCTAGCTACCCGTGTAATCCCCTAGCTACCTGTGCCGCCTGCCAGGCTGGGCTGGCCCTTTCGGCCGTCTCCCATCTCTATATAAGTGTAAACCCTCTGTAATCTATTGATTAAGGAATACTAAGCCAGTTTGGCCTTCCTCTAATATGGTATCGGACTAACCACGTTCCCTGTTTTCCGCTCCACCACGCGCCGCTGACTCCTCACATCACACAGACTCAGTCAATTGCGCAAGCTGCAAGCGTCTGCTCGCCGCTGCGCGCGAGCCTCTCAAGACCTCCCAGCGCGCCCATGGCAGCCCCTCCTTCCGGCGGCTCGAGCTCGGGCATCCATCCGCCATGGCCACCACGACGAAGCTCGCTGATGAGGCCCTTGCCGCCGCCTAAGCTTCGAGATCGAGGTCGCTTCTCTGCAAGACCACCAACGAGGAGCGCACTGCAAATCAAGCGGAGGCCGACCTCCTCAAGTCCGCCGCCGCCGCCAGAGCGCGATTGCGCATGCCTTTTGCTTTGCTTGACTTGACAAGAGAACACAGCAGCGGTGACGCTTCGAGCAAAGAGCCACCGCTCTCCGGATCGCTTTTGACCGACTCCAGCAGCGACGACTTCGCGCCGACGACGACGACGACGTCCCGCTCTGTTACCTCCGAGGCGCGGCCATCGCCACCGCGCACTGCAAAAGCGCGCCGCGGTCCGAACATCAAGAATTTGATTCCAATCGTTCTTGATCTCCGGTCATCCAATTATTCCAAGTGGCGCAGTTTACGCCCTCTAAATCCTCGGCCGCTTGCATTTGAAGGACCACGTCCTCAACACGCGTCTCCGCCTCTACGATCGGCGTGGGCTCGCATGGATTGCGTCGTCGTTTTCGGATATTCAACACCATCTCCCCGACCTCCCCGGACGTGCGTCCATGAACATGATGGCATCATCGCTTTCGGGCGGCGTGGGCTCGGATTGAACAGTAGTTCCCGAACAACCGCAAGTCCCGCGCGCCATGCTCCTCGACGCCGAAGTTCCGCGCACCTCCGCCAGGCGCCTCTCCATCGACAACTATTGCGGAAGATGAAGACCATGGCGGATGCCCTTGCCGATCTTGGCGAGCCAGCGATTACTGGACCGCACCCTTGTCTTGAAACGCCCTGCGCGGCCTCAACGACCGTTTTCAGTTCATGTTGCGGCTCGTCACCACCGGCGAAGCCGTTCCTTCCTTCCTGGCGATGTTGTTCAGGCTGATCTGCTACTGGCCGAGCTCAACATGGCACCTCCTCGGGTCCTCCTCTCCCTCGTCGCCTCGTCGTCAAGCAAGACCCCCGCCCCCCACCGGCCTCTGTTCTCGCCTCCCCGTCCGTCCTCACCAGGGCGGGGGGGGCCTCGTCAAATGCTTGTCATGGGCGGCGTGGCGCCATGGCGGCGCTGCAGCAAAGACGCGTAGGCGCTATATTGGTTAAGGCCCAAAGCGGCGCGCAGTGGCCCTCCTCCTCCTCAACCCGTGGACTGGGTCCATTCACATGTGGCCCGGCCCACCCCTGGAGGTCCGCATGGCCCCCCCCCTGGCCCCTCCGCCACAAAGACGCTCTGGCCCTACTACGCGCCTCCTCCGGCTCACAGGGCATACTACTGGCCCGCCTCGGCGGCCTCTCCGGCTTGGTCGCCTGACCTCGAGTCCCTCGCCTTGCGCCTTTTCAAGACCGTCGCTCTCACTCCGCCACCTCCTCCGAGTGGGTCTTCGACTCGGGCGCTTCTCTCTCACATAGCTAAGCAATCCTGGTATGGTCACCATGTCACCAACCTCCTTTTCCTTCCTCCATTGTTGTGGGCAATGGCGCCACCTTCAGATTGTTGGCGCTGGCTACTCAAACCTCAACGCCCATTTCGCCTCAACAATGTTCTCATTGCCCCCGACATCATTAAAAATCTTTTGTCAATTCGGCAATTCACCATCGATAATCTTGTCTCTTGAGTTTGACCTCTCGGTGTTTCTGTGAAGGATCTCCGCATCAGAACCTCCTCCTTATTTGTGATGACTCGGGACCCCTATACACCTTTGTAGCTCCCGTCGTCACCATCCGTTCTCTGCGCGCTCTGGTGGCTACTCCTTAACTACTTGGCATCGTCTGTCTCGGCCATCCCGGAAGGCCACTCTTGAGCCTTGCCAAGTCGTCCTCCATCATCTGCAGCAAATGACCAATGTCGACACCTCTCGCCATGCTTGTCGACTTGGGCGCCATGTTCGCTTGCCTTTCACCAATTCCTTGTCGCGCAACTAAAAATTTCGACTTGATACATTGTGATTTGTGGACATCCCCGATCGCTGTTGTATCCGGTTTTAAATATTATCTAGTAATTATCGATGATTGCTCGCATTTTCTTTGGACTTTCCCTCTTAAGCTAAAGTCCGACACCTTTTCTGCTCTCTCGAATTTTTTCACCTCTGTGCTCACTCAGTTTGGTTGCACCATCAAGTCTGTGCAGTGTGACAACGGGCGTGAGTTTGACAACTCCCTCGTCTCGCTTTCTTCTCTCGCCAAAGGTGTCACCCTTCGCATGTCATGCCCCTACACCTCGCATGAAGAAATGGCAAAAAGCGCATGCTTCAGACCAATCAACAATGTCACTCGCACCTTGCTCTTCCAAGCATCCATGCCCCCCACCTACTGGGCCGATGCCCTTGCCACCGCCACCCTCCTCATCAATCGTCTCCCAACCAAGACCCGCACCGTCAACAATGTCACTCGCACCTTGCTCTTCCAAGCATCCATGCCCCCCACCTACTGGGCCGATGCCCTTGCCACCGCCACCCTCCTCATCAATCGTCTCCCAACCAAGACCCTGAACATGAGCACTCCTTTTCTCGCTCTCCATGGCACTCTCCCTCCTACCATGACCTTCGGGCTTTCGGGTGCACCTGCTACCCCAACCTCACCGCCACCACTCCTCACAAGCTCGCTCCACGATCTTCCTTGTGCGCCTTTATTGGCTATTCTCTTGACCACAAGGGCTACAGGTGCCTCGACCTCGCCACAAACGGCGTCATCATCTCCGTCCACGTTGTCTTAGACGAAACAACGCTCCCTTTCTCCCCTTAAATGACCTTCGCCATCCACACACGAGCTTGATTTTCTAACTAACGCACGATTCTTCGCCGGGCTTCGTTTCCACCTATAAGTACACTGGGGTGTTGGCACCTGCCAAGACCTATGCCCTTCCCGGTAGGGTGCCCACCTTGGGCACACCGGCTGCTCAGCCGCCTCATTGCTTCTTTCATTTGCCGGACGCAGCACCCTCCACCTTTCTCCAACTCGGTGTTCAGACATCGCTACCACTTTCACGGCGCCCATGGCGCCCCCTCTCAGACAGCCCTAACGTCCACTTCAACTCCGGCGCCCTCTCGAACAAGTGCCCACGGCACCCTTCAGACAGCGCCCATGGCGGTGCCTCCCGTCTGTGCCGCCTCGGCGCCCTCCTTCGACAAACCACCGGTCGTCCATGTTCACACCGGCGGCCCACCCGCCTTACCGCCACCGAGTCCACGTTGGACCACCTCCTCGACGCTCCAAAGATGATTCTCTCCCCTTCGCTACATCAAGAGTGACCTCCTCTTCCAACAGAGCTATCTCCATCTCACGGCCGCCAACACTCATGGCATGGCGACCACGCGAAGTCCGGATATCTGACAGCCGCTACCGCCTCGCATTAATCGAGGCCCTGTCACCACTACTGCTGGCTCTTGTCGTGACGCGCCTCGCCAACCCTCATCATGGCGTCGTGCCATGGAAGACGAGTATGCTGCCCTCTCGACAACAACACTTGGAATCTCGTTTCCCGTCCCCGCCAAGGCGAATGTGGTCACCGGCAAATGGATCTTCAAGCATAAGTTTCATGCGGATGGTTCCTGGATGATACAAGGCTCATTGGTGCTTCAGCGGGTTCACCTAACGTCCGGTGTTGATTACGACGAGACATTCAGCCCCGTCGCCAAGCACGCGCTACTGTTCAGATTCGTTCTCACCTTGGCTCACTCTCGGGGATCGCCAATCCATCAACTTGATGTGAAAACGCCTTCCTTCACGGACCTTGTCGTAAAGCAGGTAATCGCTCTCAACCCACTAGATTTGCCGATCCCGCACTTCCCGGACATGTATGCAGCTCAACAGAGATCCCTCTATGGTCTAAAAGTGTGCTCATGCGAGCATGGTACAGCCGGTTTGCCTCCTTCCGCTCTCTACGGGTTTCAGTGAAGCAAGATCGCAGACATCTCTCTTTATACACCGCCGCAGCCATCAAGCGATCTACTTGCTCCTCTATGTCGACAACATTGTTCTTCGCCTCCTCGAGCAGCTCTTACATCGTGTGATTGAGGCGCTCAAGAAAGAGTTTGCCATGAAGGACCTTGGCCCTCTTCATCATTTTCTTGGTGTGGCATTCAGTACACACAGGATCATCTCACTCACATCTGCCGTCAAGTACATCCTGGACATTCTTGCTTGCCATGGGATGAGCGATCGCAAGCCTTGTTCCACTCACGCCGACACGTGTGCCAAAGTTCCTGGCAAATGCCGGTCCTCCTGTTGTCGATCCCATAGCCTACAGTAGTCTTGCAGGTGCTCTTGAGACTGACATTCACGGCCCGACATTGCGCGACGCCGTTCAAGCAAATCTGCCTTCACATGCATGATCCCGGGAAGTTCATCTTGTGGCTTAAGCGGATCTTCGGTACCTTGTGGCACCCTCGACTTCGGTCCGATCATTCCCTATCTGCTCCAACACAGCTTGTCGTGTACACTGATGCGGATTGGGCCGGTTGCCCTGACACTCGACGCTCCACCTCTGGCTATGCTGTTTTCCTCGGTGGCAGCCTCATCTCTTGGTCATCCAAGCGGCAGCCCACTGTTTCTCGGTCCAGCGCCGAGGCCGAGTATCGGGCTGTTGCCAATGGCGTCGCCGAAGCTTCGTGGCTGCAGCAACTCCTACAGGAGCTGCACCACCCTCTGCAGTCTGCCTCCCTCGTCTACTGCGACAACGTCAACGCCGTCTACCTCTCTTCCAACCCCGTTCAGCACCAGCGCACCAAGCACGTGGAAATCGACCTTCACTTCGTCCGTGAACGTGTTGTCATTGGTGCTGTTCGTGTTCTTCACGTTCCCACCACCTCACAGTTCGCCGATGTCTTCACCAAGGGGCTTCCTTCTTCTGTGTTCATGGAATTTCGCTCCAATCTGAACGTTCGCTCCACCGACGTTCCGACTGCGGGGGGGTGTTAGAATTAATTACTCCTTTACTGTAATCTCCTAGCTACCCGTGTAATCCCCTAGCTACCTGTGCCGCCTGCCAGGCTGGGCTGGCCCTTTCGTCCGTCTCCCATCTCTATATAAGTGTAAACCCTCTGTAATCTATTGATTAAGGAATACTAAGCCAGTTTGGCCTTCCTCTAATAGTTAGGAATGTGTCAATATAAGGCTAGCCTTTACATGAAGATTGCCTTTATATATAGTGTACGTGGTTAATTTCTTTCAAATACAGTGCATTTGCCTGTGTTCGAACTGCAAATGCCACAAAACCTCTTCCCATCTGTGGTTCTTAGCTGTCAAATCGCTGTCATATTTTGCTTCTGGAAAAGTCAATCGAATAGGCAACTATAAGTCTATAAGTTGTGCTGAGATTATTATGTTCAATATGCTGCATAGTGATATATCAATGTTCTTCCTTGTATCATTATTTACATAATTTATTTTTGATTTAATACTAATTAGACACCCATCATGCAGCATGCCCAAGTTTGAGGAAGGTTCCACATGTCCTGGTTCTACATGGACAAGATGGTGCTTCATTAGAGCTTATGAAGGTTGCAAAATGTTGAAAAACTGTTTGTTATCTTTACTTTCATTTTCTCATTTTTCATGTTCATGATTGGTTGACAGAAACTGAAGCCTGCAAATTGGATCCTCCACAAACCTCCACTCCCAATTTCATTTGGAACACATCATTCTAAGGCCATGTTGCTTGTATATCCTCAAGGAATTCGAATTGTTGTGCACACAGCGAATTTGATACATGTTGACTGGAATTACAAAAGTCAGGGACTATGGATGCAAGATTTTCCCTGGAAAGACACAAATGATATGAATAAAAAAGTTCCCTTTGAGAATGATCTAGTTGATTATCTCAGTGCACTTAAGGTAACAGGGTGTTTTCTGTGTCTTATCGTTAATCTTTTAAAATTTGAATATTTTTTCCTTTTTTTCTCAAACACACAGGAGACCCGTATCATTGTATTAATAGAGAGAAAGAAATACAAACAGCCCATTTTGTCTTGCTTAGGAGAACAAAGGGGTCGAGGCTCAGGTTTAGATAAATTATACAATCACTGGAAAATTAAAAAGGACACGACCAAAGCAAAGCTACTTTAAACTAGTCCTCAACCTGACCTAGTCCTGATCCTGGAGTTTACGGATTCCAGCAAATTCCCAAAGTTTCAGATCTTCCAAGAACAGGCTGAGGTCTTAAAAATTATCGTTGGAAATTTTAAAAGTGTCATTTTATTGATCATGTCAGAAGGGGAAAAAAGTTGATAATGTTTATGTGAATTTTTTTGACAGTTCCAGTTGACACAATAACTTGTGTTTTTATGCACTCAACTACTCTTAACAAAACGTTTCCATTAAAGAAATAGCTTATGAATATTGTGCCTTTCCAGACAGCTGAATAGAAGAAAAGGAAGTGAAAATTCACCGTTACTTAAATACTGTTGAATATTAAAATACGGAACTCTGTACTTTTTGTCAGAGTGGAAGAACATATAGATAGCCCTTGTCATATATGTCATTAAACAGTAAAGAATGCTTGGAAGATGCCTTCAACAAGTTAAAGAATGTTTCTATGATCACGAGATATAATCTGGCTTCTCTTCTAAAGATGTTCTTCTGCAATAAGTTCCATTCTTGTTCTCCAACCCATCCTAGCATAATCTTTGGAATTGTCTAGATTATGTTAGTTCCCTCTTTTTGTTCATTTTGCTACTGCTTGCCTTATACAATATGTTTGTTTCCCCTGTAGTTGCAGTTTGTTTAAACTCATATTATCTATTTTAGGTAGTAAAGTGAAATTTCACTTCATGACAATGCAGTGGCCTGAGTTCAGGGTAAATCTCCCCGAGGTTGGTGATGTCAACATCAATGCAGCATTCTTTAGGAAATTTGACTATAGAAATTCAATGGTTAGTACAATTTGAACCTCAAAGTTGCTTCAAACTTACATGCATTGCTGAACGACTAGTTTCCTGTCTTCTCTCTCAACTAGGCTGACATGAAATGAAATGAATAACCAAAGGATATTTGTCACCTGCAATGAAGTTAGCACTTCTGTCAAAATGTCATTTGGTGTTATAGCAAGTTTCTATGCATAGCTTGATAAACACTGGAAACATGGCAGTTTATTAATCATGTGTTTATTGGCACTGAATTCGTTATTATGTGCATTAATTGATGAACTGCTTGACAAGCAAGGTTCTTATCATGCCAAATGAATTGCATATTCTGTTATTTAGTGCATCCTTTGGTCGTGTATAGTACAAAATATTCATTTAGAGGAAGAAGTTCCATGTTGATTCATAAAAATGTGCTACATATTTCTAATCCATTTTGGTCCACTACTTTCCATCAACACACATTTAACCCATCCTCTTTTGCTAGTTTATCCATTATTAGTCAGTCTTAATTGATTTAAATCATTCACAGGTCAGGTTGATTGGATCGGTTCCTGGTTATCATGTGGGCCCCAATATTAGAAGGTGGGGCCATATGAAGCTTAGGAATGTTCTTGATGAAATCACGTTCGATAAACAATTTTGCAAGTCCCCTCTGATTTATCAGGTACCTTTTTTCATTTATCCATTTTTAGAGCATGCAACTTTGAAAAAAGTGGTGGTAAAACTAATCTTTTGATCTTTAATATGTAGATATTTGAAATTAAGGAATAAACTTTATTGACACAAAACTTGTGCCTTGACAGTATTTCTACCACAGTTTTAACTTGAAAGCCACTCTAGTACTTCGTATAGCATACTAATGTCATTCATTGAGCTGTGCAAATATTGCAATGATGAACAAAGAAGCATATAACAAACAGATCATTGTTGCCTGCATAGGAGTGTATTCAATGGTGGGTTGGTATGACTGTACGAAACTATCTATTATCGCCTTAACAATTGAACTTCTGGATCCTTTCTGTTTAGTAAAAAGTTCAAAATGTATTATCATCTATCACCTCAACTTGAACTTGTAGGATGCTTACCATTTGTTCATTCTTGGATGTAGTTTTCTTCCCTGGGGTCACTTGATGAGAAATGGATGAGTGAATTTGCATGCTCGCTGTCAGCTGGTAAATCAGATGATGGATCACAGCTAGGAATCGGGAAACCACTGATTGTCTGGCCTACGGTGGAGGATGTTCGGTGCTCAATAGAGGTAGAAGAAACTTAAGCTCAAATGCATTCTTCTTTATTTGTGAACATACAAAACTATAATGCGCAGAAGGCTCCATGCTGTCTTTGCTTGTTTGGTTGTGGATTGGTCGAAGCTGCCTGGCCCAGGCATCATTCCCAGGCGTTGGATTTTCCATGCCTGGAGCTCAGATGGATGCCTGGCCATAGCTGTCTGGCTCAGGGTCCCAACCAAACACATCCAGATCTGTGTGTTCTTGAGTCTTGACATCATGACATGTAAACAACTTCTTTAAAACAAGTAGTAGGTTCTTATATTCCAAGATGGATCTGTACTGGCCTCATGAACATTTTACATTTAGACACAATAATATTTCACTCCGATCAATGCTTGCTAGATACATGATATGAAATTTACTAATCATATTTACCTGTGTATCATCTATCTTATTTTCCTGCTATTATCTCTGTTTCATATTCATATTAGGGTTATGCAGCTGGTAGTTGCATCCCAAGCCCACAAAAGAATGTTGAGAAAGACTTCTTGAAGAAATATTGGTCCAGGTGGAAAGCGGATCATGTAGGTCGTTGGTATGCTCTCTTTTCCTGTAATTGCCTGAAAACCTATGATTTATTTAAATGTAATTACATGAATGTTATACCACCAGTAAGCTGCTATATAGCAGACATTGGCCCATTATACATGTACCACCGCACCACTGTTTTTTACCACTTACAGAATAGCATAACGCATAGCCATGATTGAAAGACTGGCACATGGTGTTCAGGACCTTTAATTAAGTTCCTAAGGCTTCAAACATCCTGCAGAAGTATAGCTTGTCCAGAAAAATATTTCTTTACTGAGGAGTGGCCAATGGGGCACTATCAGTAAAAGGGCCTAGGAATGATGAAGGTGTCTCTTCTGGCCCTGCTGTTCTGACATTTTGCGATGGTAGCAAATCAAGTCTCCATGTTTCTGTAGCGTAGTAGGTCTTAAAAAAAATCCTCTACTACAAACAACAGCTTATAACTGAGGCCAGGTATTTTTATCCTACTTAACAGGGCAGTGAATAATCTCTGGGTAAACCAAACAGCATCAGTACATTCAAGTGGGCATATATGCTTTATGGCCTGAAAAAGATTGCCCTCCTTTTCGTTTGTTAATCTTTCAATGCTGCTTACTGTTGTCAAGGACTAACATTCTGACCTTGATTTTTTCCTGTACCAGTCGGGCTATGCCTCACATAAAAACTTTTACTCGTTACAGTGGCCAAAACATCGCGTAAGTTTTCATGTAACCTCATTCCATTCCAGGGCATAAATAACTCTGGATGACGACCATCATCTGAACTCTTGTCTATTCCCATCAGATGGTTTCTGCTTACCTCATCAAATTTAAGCAAAGCTGCTTGGGGCGCTCTGCAGAAGAACAACACACAGCTAATGATACGCTCATATGAGGTACTATCTCTTTCATTTTTCATGATACTTTCTGGACATTCAGGATTACAGATTTTGTAACAAGGAACACTATTCAGCTTTTAAGATCTAGCCAAGAATAGTTTACTACCTGTTGTAGGTGATCCACACACGTCATAGAATTCATCGCTTATGCCCCATCATTTGACCTCTTTTCAGTTAGGTGTATTATTCTTGCCCCAAACGCTTCAATCAATACCGCAGTTTTCATGCACGGAAAAGAGCCACTCAAGCCGGGTAATTGCTAATTGTTCCTTCATAGTGTCACTTAAATATTGCTGTGAAAATTTACCCCTTCATCATGGCTCGATTTTTACATGCATGTTCAGGATGGCGTCGCCCTTGGCAAGACGATCAAGACCAAGCTGGTCACTCTTTGCTGGAAAGGTGACGAAGAGGATCCATCTATTGTGAGATTGCCTGTGCCATACCAGCTTCCTCCACAACCTTATGGCACACAAGGTTAGTCATTCCCTTGACCGTAGGTATTGTTTATCCTCAATAATAATTATTAATAATATATTCTTAAAGGCTATAAGTTCTTTTGCTTTCAGATGTCCCTTGGTCATGGGATCGGAGGTACACAAAGAAGGATGTGTATGGTTCCGTCTGGCCTCGACATGGTTAGCTTGTAGATACGCTCCTGTTTGTCTTTATTATCCCAAAAAAGACCATTCCTAACCCTGTTACTGTTCGGGTCGGTTTGAACCATCGGCAAGGTACGGCATGATTCCTCTCGTCCTGTGACCCTGCTTTCATGGCCACTCGACCATCAGTGGCGACAATGGTGGGCACTGTAGGATTCGATATTTTCAGTTGGTTGAAGCATTGATTGATGCGTGAACAAAATGCCATTGGTTGCTTGCTACTGCGGTGCTTATACATGTACACCTAGCTGTCCTGGTCGAATTTATTCCGCACAAAGTATCGTTATATATGCTCCTGTAAAAGAACGATCTAAATTTAAGCAGGTTCGTACTCGCCAGCACTTGTATACCCTGAGTCGATTCTGGATTTCTTGCGGCCATCGTCGCCTTTGTTAGGGCCTGTTTAGATGCCGAAAATTTTGGCCAAAATGACACTGTAGTAGTTTTCGTTGTTATTTGGGAATTAGTGTCCAATCATAGTAGGCTTAAAAGATTCGTCTCGTCGATTTTGTTTAAACTGTGTAATTAGTTTTATTTTTTATTTATATTTAATACTTTATATATGCGTTTAAAGATTTGACGTGACGAGGATCTTGAAAATTTTGGTATTTTGTGAGGGAACTGAACGGTACTAGTCTTCGTCGATTCCTTATCATGATCACCCTCGGCGCTCACGGACTTCCCCAGCCATTCACTGAACCAACTCGGCGCTTTGGGCACCGTCCGCGTCCAATTGTCCCATTTAGCTGGCCGCGGCTCGGTCCGGCGGCTCCAGTCTACGGCAAGCGCGCCGCTGCGCTGCACCGCCGTCCACCGGGGCCCGTGTCTCTTCGGCGTCGGACGGACAGAAACACGGAGCCGCCACGCCAAGTCGGTTCGCGCCCTACTCCATTGTACCTGCGCCACCCAAGACCCAACCTAACGCTGAATGGTGTCCGCGCAGCATGCCACCACTCATGATGCAACATATTAACTAACGATAATGATACAATTAGGGCGTCCTTCTGTCCGAACGTCTCGCTCCGCTCACTCCCGCCCGTGCGGATTAGCCTTGCCTGCGCAGCGCGCCATGAATGCCACGGCTGTCCCTCCATCTGTCCTCGCCTTGCCTGCTCGGATTTGCCGCCTCCACCGCGCCGCGCGGACTCGTTCCGCCCGCCGCGGCTGCTCCATTCGTCTGCCGCGGCCAACTCTACCACGTCGTGGCGCCTCCATCCACATGCCGCAGCCGCCTGCAGTGCGCCGGATGCCTCCGCCGCATCGGGTGCCGCCATCCGCTGTCGCGGCCGCCATCCACTACGCCAGTTTGTTGCGCCGCCCGCGCCATATTGCGCTGAAAACGTGTTGCAAACATTTGTTCCATGTGTTTCAAACGTTTCAGAGGTATGTTGCAAGTATTTCATATGGATGTTGCAAAAGTAGAACCGTATGTTGCATATGTTGCAATGGCTATACACCTATGTTGCAAGAGTTTGTTTAAAATATTTTATCTATTTCAGATGTATGTTGCAAATATTTTTATCTGGATGTTGCAATGGCTATGTTGCAAGTGTATGTTTCAAATGTTTCATCTGTTTCAGACTATGTTGCAATTATTTCATCTGAGTGTTGTAAAAGTAGATTTGGAGATAGGTATGAAGGAATCCCAAGCTGTCGGTGGTCGTGCTGATGCCCGAGCAGGAGAGCAGTAACACAAAGAAGGTCACCTGTTGTGGCTCCCTGGTGTGGCGAAGATGGAGATCGCGAACGCAGGAGCGGCGGGGACGGGATGCCACGGCGAATCGGGGCGGGATGGGTGACAGACGAGCTCCTACACGTGCTATGACTGTCACCTTTTCTAACCTCACAACATGTACACACAATTAGATACATATTTAAGCTAAGTCAATCTCCAGTCAATTTTTCATATAGGATTAATCCTTTATTGGACTAACATTTATTATGGGACGTGGAATTTATTAGTTTCTAGGTTGGGCCAACTCCAACTAAATCCAACAAAATAGCTAGCTCGTTATCATTGTCACGAGCATCACACAATAAATCGCCTTTGGCCAAGTAAATGATATCAACTTGCATATTATTTGTGCGCGAATAAAAATGAGTGTAAGACTTAACCTATCTAAACTATATTTGAACATAAAACGAACTTGTATCACATGAGGTGTGAGCTCAATCGTTCTTGAGTCATTATAATAAAAAATCTACTTTTGAGCCAATAAATCAAGAGCATGCTGATAATCGAGAGTGTGACATTTCCAAATGTTTAAATCAACAATCTGCATGTGGTGTACATCTTTTCCCACACAAGCAGAAAGCCACCACCTATATGATCCATTGTTTCATAAAGGGTAGCTTAGGTTGCGTCACCTTGCTAGCTAGTTTCACTCTATTAAGAGAATGAACAAAATGGAGTTAGCTGCCGATCGAATTTATTCTGTGCAAAGCAGCATCATACTTTTACAAAGAACGATCTAAATTTAAGCTGCAGGTTTGTACTTGCCAACACTCGTATCGTACGTACCCAAGTTGTTGTTCTTTGATTCTTGGGGCTGTCATCGCTCTTGTTAGTCTTTATTGATTCTTGATTATGATGATCCTAACCAGTGAGGTTCCGTTTGGCAGCTTTAATTTGTAGCTTTATTCGTATGTAATGACTAACTAGCTTACTATTGCAATACCTTGTACACAAGAATATAGTTGTAATTTGTTTCCTCTCTGAGCATGGTTTTACATCTGTGGGTATGGATTTAGTTGTCTCAACGTTGCAATTTGATGAGTGGGGAGAGAGAGATCCAGAGAAAACAAATGGAGATGACTGAGAGCGCTAGACAGGGTAGGAGGGGAGGATGGAGGAAGAGGACGTACTCCACGGAAGAGATTGAGGTTGCCTTCGGCTGGTAGGAAACCCAGCCCGGAATTCACTGTTCACGGACATCCCGGAAATTCACTGTTCACAGCTGTTTTTACTGTTTATAGTCTCGTAAATTTTCTCATATTTATCTAGATTTCTCTAAATTCCTCCGAACGAACAGTCCCAAGACATCGAGATGGATGGAATCGGCCAGCCCGGAATTCACTGTTCATAGCTGTTTTTACTGTTTATAGTCTCATAAATTTCTCTAGATTTATCTAGGTTTCTCTAAATTCCTCCGAACGAACAGGCCCGAGACATCGAGATGGATGGAATCACAGGCGAGGGTAAGTAATTTATCTTTTTTCCAGTTAGGTCAAATCCAAAACGGTGGCAAATTTAGCAGGTTCGCAAGGCATGCAATTATGCAAATAGCTTTTGTTTTAGTTAAAAAAAATCATAAACGTTGTCGGTGACGGTGCTGACTGCTGACGGCTCCACGGAAACCAACTCGCTACTCGCCGAACAAACGTACGTACAGCTCGACAGCTTGCTCGGCACCGCACCGACCGCGTCGTCTCCGTGTCCGTGACGGTGCACGTTTCGTCGGGTGCGGCGGCCCACGCCCACGCCCACCCCCGTCCACCAACAAACGACGGACGGCACTGGTGACACGCGCGGTCCCGCCCCGCCCCGCGGCTCCAGATCACGGCAAAGCGCCGCCCGCCGCTGCGCTGCGCGGCACGTCCCGCCCTGACGCCACGCCAAGCTCGACGCGGAGTCACACAGTAGCACGCGTGACGTGCGCGCTCCGACGTCCGGTGCGATCGATCTCCTTCCTCTAATCCCGTTTCCTACCCGCGCGTCCGCCCCACGCCAATCTCCGGCGGGCCCGTGACGGGGAACGCGATGCGGCAGCCGGCTGCGGCCGTGACGCGACCGCGCCCACGTGAAGGCAGCCCTCCATCCGCCCCGGCATGGGTCGTCTCGCCGTGGGGCCCGGGCCAGCAGCTGCTGCTTCCCGGGCCGGAGGATCGCTGAGCGCTGACGCCTGACGCGCCTACTGCCTACACGCTACCGCCACTGCCACTGCCACTGCCGTTCGATTATAGTTATTAATTAACAAAAAATAATTTGTTTAATTGCGTATCATAACGCTAAACCCGCTGTAGGCATCGTCTGGATGCTGCTATGCTATATTGCTATGGGATGACCATTCGCGTAAGTCGGTTGTACGAGTGGGATCCTCTGCGGACGCGATTCCGGTGCTGCCGATATAATAGTGGGATTAAGAAATTACAAACAGCTAACTAGTACTAGTAGCATCTAAAAAAAGCCGACGGTGTTTTCCTCGTGGCAGGCCACACAGAGGGGCAACCAAAGGCGTTGCCACAAAGTGTTCTACCGGTGGAGGACAACCATTAATCAACAGGCTTTGTGGCCAAAAGAAACGGAGAAGAGGAAAAGTGGGGCAAGCAAAGCAAGAAACCGCGGACGGAGCGTCCTCCTCCTCCCGTCTATAAATTCCCCTCCTTTTCTTCCTCCATATACAGGGGATCATCCAAGCCAAGGAGAGGGAAGAGCACCAAGGACTCCCCGGCGCCCGTTCAGATCCACATCCTTCCCGAGCGAGTTCTTGGTTGACCTCTTCCTCTTCGACCACCTCCCAGGGTATGATGAACTGCACCCTTTCCCCCGTGTTCCCCTTTCCCCCTTTCTCTGAACAAATCTGTGATTATTGTGTCCCGGTTTAGCTGTTAGGGATCCGTTCTGTAGCTGGTGCTAGGAAATTAGTTGTTTTGCTGAGTATGTGCTAGGCTACTGCGCTAAATCTGTATCGACCTTGCTTTTCTATTAATGAAGATCAGCCCTGTCAATGAACAAAAGGACGCTGTTCTCCCCGAAGTTTGCAATCATGCTTGATTTTTGTTAGATAGCGCTTTGCTTGAGTTGTGTCTGGATGTTTGCAATCATGCTTGATTTTTGTTAGATAGCGCTTTTCTTGAATCGTGTCTGGATCTTAGTATGACTGTTGTTCTGAGGCTGTTAAGTAATTGTAATCAGATTGGGTACGGTTGATGGCCCTGAAATCCAACAGTCAGCTTGCTTCCTTTTGAGGGATTTGTGTTGGGTAATTTTGAGCATGGCTGAACAGAAATAATTAATCTTGATGGAAATAATTTAGATGAAATCATTCATGAGATGAAACCATGTCATCTTATGGCGCTTGCTTTGTTTATTCTACAGTTATGTGAAGCAAAAGATAGTGACCTAAGCAGATCAGTACTACCAAGGATGCATTTTTAGCTGTTCGTTATGTTGTTTGTATCTTGGTTCAATAATACAGTAGTATAAAGACCAAAGGGGTGCTCATTAAGTTTGTATGTATGTTAAGAGCATAGGAACTGAAAGGGTTGGACTTGATGCCTCTAGTCAGCTCAATTTCTGTTTTGGACTTGGGGTGGTTGATTTGATTATAACTAACTCCTTATTTCTAATGTGGATGGCATCATTATATCCCTGACATCTTGTCTACAATTGAGATGCCTTCATTTAAGCCTAGGACCACTTAATTGAAAGTATCTGTATTGTAGGAATAAATAGTTGCTGGGATGAATAATGAGGCAAATTACAATGGACCCATGTCATAGACACTTGCACGGACAATGATAAAAAGCCATTGAGATCTCAATATAGAGATGGTCACATGGTGGGGTTTGTGACTGAATTCTTCAACATACCCCATTTCTGCTAGCTTTTTTTTTTTTTGTTAGTTTTAAGAAAAGCTATATCATATAGTCTCGATTTTTTTAGCTTGGTACAAATTGCTGTGTTCAGTATGGTCATCTACTCTCTATCGTTTCATGGGTGCACCCTTTTGACTTAAGTAGAAACTTATCCTATATTTCCAGTAGTGTTTGATCACAGAAAATGTAGATGTTTGAAACTGTGATGTGGTTGCCTTACTCTGCACTGAATGTTCTCTAATTATCTATATCGTTCCATTGTACAGCTCTTGGTGTAGCTTGCCACTCTCACCAATCAAGTTTTCATGTCTGATCTCGGCGATCAGATCCCAACTGCCTTCGGTATGTTAGTTAATTGTTTTCTTTTAGTTCAGTTATCTTATGGTTGCGATGCCTGGAGTACATGCATTTTATTCTAATCTGTGTTACACATACAGATCCCTTTGCTGAGGCCAATGCTGGGGACTCTGGTGCGGCAGCAGGATCAAAGGACTACGTTCATGTACGCAGCCAGCAGCGTAATGGTCGCAAGAGTCTGACTACTGTCCAGGGATTGAATAAGGAGTTCAGCTACAGCAAGATCCTCAAAGATCTCAAGAAAGAGTTTTGCTGCAATGGTACAGTGGTCCAGGACCCAGAACTTGGACAGGTATGGTACTCCTGACGAACTTGGGTTCCTAGGCCATCTCTATGCATCTTCAACTTCGCCTGTCTACAAGATAGTTATCTTGACGGATTTGTTCTGCCCAACTATATAGGTCATTCAACTCCAGGGTGATCAGAGGAAGAACGTCTCGAATTTCCTTGTCCAGGTAGTTACCATTTGGTTTATCATCTTGTGCGCATACATATAGTGATGTACGAAGATGACTAATTTTGTTCCTGTTGTGTCCTGGCAGGCTGGCATTGTGAAGAAGGAACACATCAAGATTCATGGTTTCTGAGGAACCGCCGGGTCCATAGCAAGCCCTGCATGCAAAGCAGCTATATATCTGAGGTGGAGCATATCCGGCTGTGTACAAGCAGGCCTACTACTACGCCTGCGCGTTCTCCTATACACATAACACACAGCCCCCTCCCTGCGTGTATGCTTATTACCGTTGTGTCAAATCTTGTACGAGGCTCCATCGAACTTCGATGGCTTGCTTCTTTATCAGAACAAGATTGAATAAACGATATTTGGTATGCTCTGCGTCCAATGCTTTCGCTGAACTTTGCTTCATTCAGTATTTCAGTTTCTGTTGCCTTGTTCGCATCTGCTGTGCCGGTGACGAGGATATGCCACCAAAGGATGATCGAATTGGAGAGGGGTAGTTTTAGTTCAATTGTTTTGGTCAGTGATCATTGCAATCTTATGACGATTGAGAGCAGTTAAGAGTCGTTGATTGGCTGTGCTCTTCCGGCTGCAGCTGCAGCTGCACACAAGCAGAGGGATAAACAGTCTGGTCTTTGCAGCAGGTGCAGCTAAAGCCAAGAAGGCCAGCCGATCAGGGAGAAGAGACGCACAAGCTTCTCGTGATCTCGAAAATAAAGTGCTGTAGCAGCCGCTGAATGCCTGAACGAATGAGCCTGAAGTAACACTAGTGACTCGGAAGGGTATGGCGAACTGAATTTTAGTAACACCTGTTGGATGGGTGAAACAGTTTACCAGTCTGGCATGAAGATGAAGTTCAGCAGTCGAACCTTGCGCAGTCGGCTTGATGAAGCCTGCTGATAGGTTATGCAGTTAAGTTTATCCTGGTGTTCATGGCAGTTTGCAGGTTGAACCATAGCTTGGTGCCTTTTTTTTCCTTCTTCTTTTTCTTTTATTTAGGGGGTCGTTCAGGAGCGCTCCAAGCTCTGAAATTCTCTCCATGAAATTGTTCCTAGACAGCAAAACAGGTAAAATACAACTACGCTTCTCTGCACTGGGAGCTGCGAGCTACACAAGCTGCTCTTATCTCTCCCCATTGAACCTCCGTCGCAATCACTCTAAAATCACTTCCTACCTGCTTCTTACCTTGCCCTTTGATCGAAATTACCCATCAGAAATTTCAACGAGCTAGAGCTAAGAATGGGTGAACTGTATCGAACAGGCCACCACCAAACTGGCCCTAAGTTACTGAAACATTCTCAATTTTCCGCGAAAGGAAAATCCACAAAATGAATTATAATATGATGAAACCAATAATTGATTCCATCATATTATCATATATCAGTCGATATCACGGTCATACATCGTAAGATTAAAGAATACAAGATATTACATCACTGGGGAATACACCTATTACAGAGTTAATCTAGCGGAAGACTATCGAGTGAAGGCTTCTCCTTCACGGGTCATCATCAGAGTTGACGTAGTGCAGCGTAGATTCCATCTCCGAACCAAACTTGAGCGTAGGCACGAGACCTCCTATTCCTTTTATAGTCAGCATCTCTGAGAAGCAGGAAATCTGCACACCGCCAGATGTGTGCAGGTCATGGTCAGCACCGATGAGCTTTAGTAGAAAAGATAAAACAAGAGGATCTGGCGATCCTAACATTTGGCTGTGGTTTACATCCTTAGCGCATGAGAAGTAAGTAACAGTAGTAATGTAATAGTAATATCCAGTTTTTAACACATTTACAGCCACACACATCCACATCCATCCATAACCATCCACCAACCCATCCCAACCATAACCACCTCCACACCACCACACCTTATCTCACCTCACACACTCAGGTCGACAGGCCAACTCCCTCTCGACCTTGTCTCAACGGTCCGCAGCCCCCAAGGCTCACGACCGGAAAATACCCCAAACCCCAGAGGGAGAATAGAAGGACTCATCTCCTATCTAGTTTAAACGAAACCTAGGAAAGGTCCATAGCCGACAAGTCGGTATATGTATCGATCGATCAACCAAACACTCTGCAGAGGTTTCACATACCCACAAGATAGCCATCCTCGACGGTGCCCCATCTAGGCAGATTCCGGCCGCTTGCTAGCCTAGAACGATGCCATCCTACCTCTCAGCCCTGGAACACCCCAAGTCTAATCTGGGATGGCTGATACTGTGAGTCATAGACAGAGCCGGGGCCCACCGGATGTCAAGAGCCAGTCCACATGGCCTCCTGAAGTCTCGGAAGAGTGTGGGGGGAAAACCGCGCACCCCGTACCTCCTTGCACACGTTCGCCTAGCAGCAGTGGCATCGCTCTACCAAGTAGTCCGATCGTCCTGCACCATATAGGGCGAGTGGGATGTAAATGATTCCCGGTGAATCTGAGTACTAGTAAGTCCTTAGGGGTGACCAAGCCAGAATGTCTTCATCAGGGTTTCCATTTACCGTGCCACCACAGCACCTCCACCCCGGGCTCCACCTCTCCGAGGTTCACACCCAAGGCCACCTCCAATTACCATTTACCCGCCATAGGTATTCCATATCCAAGTGCCCAGGTAGCACCACATGGCAAGACTTGCCCCAGGCTCGTCGTTATTCCAGCTCGGTCGACACAACCCTCACTCTCCACGCACCCAAGACACACGCAGCACGCTCACACACCACCAGTCTAGCACCCATAGCCAAACCATTCACAGGGGGTTCACCACCAGCATCACATCCCCGATATAATGCGAAGTGGAGTTAATAATAAGTATAGTGGTGTAATATGCAAGCAAGCAGGCAAGTAAGCATATATAAGCGAGCGAATGCGCAAAGCAGGGTGACGTGGTAGAGTGGGTTGCATCAGGGTAATAATAACTCAGGTAGTAGTATGCATCAAAGTACTAGCAAAGGAATAATTTATAAAGCGCTAGTAGTTCTAGATATTATGCAATGTCTAATAGGATTCTCTAAAAGAGGGTGCTGCCATGACACCTGCGATGTAGAGGTAGTAGTGGTTCAATTCTCCATTCGTTGGTGTTCCATTAGCGGAGTTACCTCCTCCTGTGTTGACTCCATTCCGCAGTCCTTGTCGTCGTCCTCGTTCTCTTGGTCCGATCGTCAGCCACTCCGCGAAGCGACGCGCAAGGCAAGAGAACACTCAACACTTGAAAAGACGACAAGACGTAGGAAAATCCAATAACGCCATCGAGACAATAAGAGATACACGGCTTAGCCCTCTCGGTGGTTGTCCGATTTCCTCGGGCCAAAGAATCACAAGTGGTGGTTTGCTAAGCACAAGCTTAAGTCATGGCCAAGCCAGTATGGCTTTACGATAAACGGTTTAAGCCAGAGCTTATCCAGAGCAAACACCATGGCTCACGATCTTTCGATCCGGTGTCATTGGGTTGACGGGGATTGGAAATCGGGCCCCAAGAAAGAAGATCGACGGGGTTCGGCTCTTATAGCCTTATCCCGCAAGCCACATTTGGACACGGGTAGCAAACAAGAACGAATAACACTATTGTAACTTGGCTCCAATGTACTTTGGCTCACCCGCTATGGTAGGAAGCGGTAGCGCAAAGAGGTTGGACAGCGACGGGTCCTCTCGATCCACCCGACACATCAACGTCGGGAGCTGAGGAGGTAGTCGTTCAACACGGCAAAAGCAGCGAGGTTAGCTAGGCATGTCCATGTTATGTTCCCAGTCACATCTTCGGGAAAGATGGTTTTAGACGGTCGATCGGGTCGACACGCACGGGTCCGAGGTACGACATAGACCATAGCTTCGCTAACAAAAGGGAATAGTCCGGTCTTTGTTCCAATCGTCACGGGCAAGACGGGATCGAACAGAGCGGCTATCGGGGCAATAAGAGCAAGAACAACCAAGAGCAAGGTCTACTTCTAACGCACATGCCACGACAAAGACGAGGCATAGCAAGGAGCGACACTCAAGAACACCAAGTGCGTAAGCCACTCGTAGGGTACCCGACCCGGGGTGCACTGGCACTGATATATCTCTCGGATTCGAAGCGGTGCGGTTGTCACCGTGAGAATCAGAAAAACGTGATGGTCAAAACGGGGTACAAGCATACAAGGGCTTGAGCACGAAGAAGCAACTAAAAACGAAAGGGAGGCGTGGCTTCATGGTCATGGCGAGGCGAACTCATGGCCACAAGCTACACCAACGAGTTGGCATCCATCGTTCCATGATTGTTATCTCCCAGGTCATCTCCCACAGGACTCGGTCATGGAGGGCTCAAGGCGTGCGGGTGATATCCGCATCGATGTTAGTATCGACTTCGAATCCATCACAACCATGTTCTAGGGCCGAAGACAGGAGCTAACACTCGTGATACTATGAAGTTAACTTAAAAAGCGAGGGGTCAAGTTACACTCGGCATCACGGTCATGGCGAGACGGATCCCGTGATCGTAATGTCCGAACGAGGTACGATCCCTCAGCCGGCTCGAAGGCTCGGCACACAGGCAACAACACCAACAAGTAGTGATAAGAACCAAACACGACCGAAAGACGCAACAACTCGACACGACTGTGGAGTAGCACATTCCATAGCTGGGTGATAGGTGAATTCCTATAAGACAGTCATGGACAGATAGGTTGTAAGAATAGAGCCCGACAAGGTAGATATGCGTATATGGAAAGATGCGATATGGGGCTTTCCATGGTCTCAGTAAGACATACGACTAGGGTTCATGGCCCAGAGGGTACGGCTTGCGGTAGACGGGGTCATGGCGGTCTCGGCAAGCGAGGCCATGGTGGTCTCGGCCAGCGAGGCCATGGTGGTCTCGCCCAGCGAGGCCATGTGGTCTCGGCAACGGTGGTCTCAGCAACGGTGGTCTCGGCAACAGTGGTCTCGACAACGGTGGTCTCGGCAACAGTGGTCTCGACAACGGTGGTCTCGGCGATGGTGGTCTCGGCAACGGTGATCTCGGCAACGGTGGTCTCGGCAACGATGCTCTCGGCAACGGCGAGGCCCGCGACAAGGAGTCTTCCATGTCTTCCAGGGCTGGCTTTAAGGGCGCGCTAGCACCGTGGTGACTGGGCGAGCTTATCAGGGACTACGACGGTGGCTGCGAGGTGCCCAACGCGGCCGGCCACGGTGATGGTGGCACGGCGTCGCGGGCGAGCATCAAAGTCACGACTACGGTCTCAACTCAGGTAAATTGGCGCATCGTCCAAGCAAGGAAGGTCTCCAGGGGGCTATTCGACTCATCAGCGACGACCAAATCGCCCGGTGGCGCCCGCGCGAGAAACGGGCTCGCGGCAGAATTCCGACGAGAAGGGCGGTAACACGGTCAAGGCAATACAGGGGGTTCCGGGTCTCATCTTTTGGTCGGGTCGGGCAACACGAGGCGGAACTAGGAGGTTCACTTGTGCAGCGCGAGGCGACCGGAACGGTGCAGGGTAGGCGCGACGCGGCGGCGCTTTAGATCACGCACCGCGCCGGCAAGGTTCATGGTTCAGGGCATCTAGTGGCCAAATTTCCAGTCTAGCGTGCGCACGGTGCTTGCCACGACGGCGCGCAGCGACGCGTGGCCATATCCCAACTAGGGCGATCCAAGGGGCAAGGCTCGGCCCTAAGCTCTCCCGAGTTGGGAGAACACAGCGACGACTAGGGCTAGCGCGGTGATCAGGGAAAGGCAGGGGGAAGCATGGAGCTCACCGTGGGTTCATGATGGCAGGTTGGTGACGCAGGGCGTCGATGGCGGTGTGTCCATGCAGGGCAAGCGGGTTCGTAGGTGTAGCCGATCGTGACTGTGACGTCTCCTCCGGCGAGTGTGGATGTCGTTGCAGCGTTCCCGTGCACGGCGTAGCTCCGGCGGCAGCGGTACACTCCGACGGCATGCTCCGTCTTCTCTGCTCCTCTTCCTTCCTCCTTGCCTCCCTCCTTCTCCCTTCCTTCGTCTCGGGGCAAATGGTGGAAGGCCGCAGGGTGGTGGCGTGTGGTTTGGGAACCCCATGGTGCTCTAATGTGGGATTTATATGCGGTGGCGCCATGGGAAGGGGTGCGGACGGCTGGTGATACCGCCCAAGGTGATCCGGCGGTTGAGGTGCTCCTGTTCGTGGTCGCGGGCGTCGCACGGGGGCCAGTTGACAGTGAGGGGCTCCAATTCATGGGTGCGGGAAAGATTTCATTGGGTGCAAGGCCACAGCATCATCATGCCTCTGGCGCGGCGGTTGCGAGCTCTGACAGGGTCACGTGAATCGCGTGATCCGTGGGACCCGCGGTGGAGACGTGGAGGGCACGGAGCCAAGTGAGGGGTGCGACGGCGGGAACGGGGTGCCATAGAGGTTGCGTGAAGAATTTGCGGATGCGAGGGCGAGTACGTGTGCTCTGTCTCTCGTGAGGCAGAGGATAGGGAAGGTGGAGATCATGACAGGCGGGCCCACATGGTCAGTTGCTGTGACGGTGTTTGTCGTTTCCTGGGGCGGCTTGCCTGATGTGGTTACGGGCCGCGGTTGCTGGCTCACGTAGCCAGCCGCGTTCATGGGCCGCGGCGTTGTGGTTGGGCCAAGGCGGTTTGGTGCGGGGGCGACGCGGGCCGACTACGTAGGAGGCCTGCGAGCGCCACTGGGCTTATGGCCATGCTGGGCCGGCCGGTTGATGGTTGGGCCACAAGGCCAGGAGAAAAGATTGGTGCGCGAGCAGGCCGTGGGCTGGCGCTTTGGGCTGTTTGGCTTTCCTATTTTCCTTTCCCCTTTTCTAATTCCTTATCTATTTATTCCTCTATTATATTTACTTCCAAACGCTCCTAAATTGGTATACATGTGTTGCCAACATGTACAGCTCCTAGTGGGGTCCTCTAGGGGTTATCTGTGGGTTAGTGGGGTCCATGTCGAGGGTTGGCATCGATAGGCATTGATTTACAAGGAAGGTCGATTGACTTTATGAATTAGATCAAGGGATTCGAATAAGGTTCAAAAGCAAGAAGGTGAATGGAGAGAGATGAAAAGGGGTTCTTAAGATATTCTAGAAGAGATCAAACGGATTTGCTACGGACTTGTGCTCTCCAACACAAAACACTAAACCAACAAAAAAAACTTCGGCAAACTCCTACAAGTAATTCTATATGCATACAACAATTTATTTCTAAATTGTTCTTAGTTTGATCTGACATCTACATGCTTCTCAAAAACCCGGTTGTTACAGTTACTACCGTACTCCAGTGCCCAAACTAGGAGCAAGCTGATGACACTACAGTTTAGCACTGTGGGATCGTTGAAATGATTCTCCGACATCTCGTACCATGTCGGCAGGATCCAGTACCAAATCCTGTCCTGCGTTTTCTTTTTCCTGATTTCCATCAGTTTGACTCTGACCTAACCCTGTCGCAGTGTCGCTGATACGTTTCACCGCGCTGCAGCGCACGCAAGGTCGCTTGGCCCAATGGCCCCTGCCATGCCAGTCGTTTATTGTTCAGAGAAGCACACTCGGCGTTGAGGTCTACAGTGCTCGGCGAACTGCAGGTATTCGCACGCCGTTGTCGTCAGGTGCTCGAGGAATTGCGCGAATCGTTTCCGTCGTGCTTGTACTACTAGTACACAGCACATGACGCCTCGATCTCTTAGATCTACCTCTAGAGGTAGAGGTCGGCACTCAGCACTTGGGTTCCCGATGCTGTTCTGCGGCAACTGAATCGATGATGATGCTGGTTTTTTTTTATATTCTCTGATTGATGAGATGAGAATGAGAATGAGAATGAGACGAGGCGCGCACGACGGGGCGTCGCCGTGCATGCAGAGATGCCTCCATGTGTCGCGCCGGGTGCCAGGGCCGGGCCGCCGCCGGGCAGGTGCGGTGAACATGGGATCCACGTGCTCCCCTCCCGCACCGGGAATACGGCGAGCGGCGAGCCCGATCCCATTTGCTGAAATCCCGTGTAGCCGTTAACGTTGTCAGCAGCCTAATCCTAATCCGCCGCGACGGACAGCTCTCTGAGCACGACCAGAGTTGTTTGTCAGTGGACCTGGACGTGGCATCAATATCATATCATATTGCGGTTCGTGCGATCAGCTGGCCAGATCAAATTGAAGCGCCACGCCACTCGGGGACATGATACATACTTTGACCGATTTCCAACATTTTTTTGATCGAAATTCGTTGCGCCTCTTCTCAGACGGGCCTGAAACTCGGAGCTCTCCAGCGATGCTACCGGTTCCTGAGATCGGCTTCACCGGTGCGAAGAAAATGACGAGCGAGTTTGTTTCAACGGAGCAGACCTCAGCGAGTCAGCATCTCTCGAGCCGGAGCCCAGAGGTGGTGACGTGGCCGTGCTCTGTGGCTGTGGTTTCGATGTCCGATCCTGCCTGCCGTTGAAAATGTCGCGGCGTCTTTTTGGATGCTTCTTTCTTTTTCCTCCCAGCCCCATATCTTTCTTTTTCCTCGTCATCCTCACATGCACTTGTTCGCCCATGGCCTAACCTTTTTCTCCTTTCACTTTATTTTTTCCGGTTCGTTCGCGATCCCTACATTTGTCACGGTAGAGTACCACGCAAAGGAAAAACAAAAGGCTCCCTAGTCGATCGATCGGAGTAGATGGAGTCGTCGATCGGTTTCGTATCAGCGGGGGCTAGCCGGGTAGGCACAGCACAGGTCTCAGGTCACAGGTAGCGGGATCTGTGGCCGAACACGGGCAAGGCATAACTGGTTGGCTGCCTGACAGCCGTGCCGGACGAGGCGACTGAGATCTAGGCGCAAGTTCCGCCCACGCCCTGCGACGCCGCACGTTGTGGGTTCTCTTCTCTTGCTGCCGCCGCCCTTGATTCCTCCGCCAGCCTGCCAGTGCCAGTCTGCCACGGGCCACGCCGCTCATGCCCCTACCCTGCCAAACTGCATGGATCATGGCCAGTCGCTCGAACCGATCGGCCTAGTTTATCATATAGTACGGTGTTTTTCTCTCGTGAGTAAACAGTATTTTTTAGCATGACTTTTCCGCGAAAACCCATGGTCGTGTATATCCCCAGGTCCAATGCAAATCTAGCTCGCTGTGTCCTTAATTAAACGGAAATGGCAGCTTTGCCAACAGAAACAGATTTGCTTTGGTGGTACAAAACTGGAACCCATTCCTCGTTTCCTCCAACCAAAAAGAATGGCCCGTCCGTTCCAAACGTCTCAACACAGTGCACGTCCAACCTTTATCCCCAAAAATCAGCAACCAGTTTACAAACACACACAAAAAAAAAATCATGTCATCATCGACCAATAGTATACTAATATGAATTGGTCCCGACCGACGAGGAGGTCGAGGTCGTCACGAGGCGGTGGCGGCGGCCCGGAGCGCGCACTCCTCGGGCGGCGTCGGGAAGCGCTTGCGGTCGTCGCAGTAGTCGTAGATGAGGAGGTTCCTTGCCACCCAGGCGTTGTCCAGGCGTTGCCCGGCGTCCAGCGCCCACGCGGGGGGCTGGTCCCACCAGCTGTCCCCCGTGGCCGCGGCGCACGCCGGCGGCGACCCGGCGTCCGCCGGCCAGGCGCAGGCGTCGGCGGCGAAGTCGCGGTACGACGACACGAAGGGCGCCCTGGACCAGTCCGTCTTCTCCAGCCCGCCGCGCGTCGCCCAGTCGTCCGCGTTCCAGATGCTGGAGAAGATGTACATCGCCTTGGAGATCGGGAAGAAGCCGTTGCTGCTGCCGCCCCCCGGCTTGGACGCGTCGTTCGGGTACACCCGGATCGCCACCTTGTCCACGAAGAACCTGCAAGCATGCAAGGGCACGGACACAGAAGAAGCGTGTCAGTCAACAGGTAGGTTGGCTACCTATCTCGTCGCCACAGTCCTGCGTGCCGACGCGTGAGCGTGACGTGCTCTGCTCTAGAGACTGTGCTGTGCTGTGCTGTGCAACCCATGATCGGGATTCGATCGGCAACATCGTCATGGACCACTGGTGCGTCGTGATCATGGACATGGGCGGATGGCATGTGGTAAAATTCCTGCCGTGCCCCGCAGCAGCAGCCAGCAGGGCCAGCAAGAACAGTTGCACACCACGGCAGGGTATCGATCGCCAGTCGCTAGTTACACACACTGGCGGCTGCCGAGGATCCATGTGCGGTGTGGTGGTCCGGAGCAGAAGAGCTGTCGGAGGAGGACGGGACGGGAATAGACATGGACCGGTGGGCATGGGCGAGACGGCGAGCATGGTTTGGCCCCCAAGCAAGGGCGTGTACCAAGTTTGCATTGCAGCGGCGCCGACGCGCGGGAGCGAATCGTATTCGTATCCAATCCAAAGTGCCATGCGGCCATGCCAACCAGAGGCTCGCATATCTCCAGTCCAGGGTGCGGGGCCGGACAAGGAGGTGGGTGGCCTCATTCAACTCGCCCCGGATCGCGCTCTCTCTCTCTCCCTCTCTCAGAGCGGCAGAGCAGCAGGGGGAGCGAGGGAGCGTGAGCGTGGGGCAGCCAAGGCGAGTGGTGGTGACGGATGAGAGGCTTGAAATGGAAACGGGAACGGGAACGGGAACGGGAACGGCAGCTTACACGATGTGCTTGGGGTTCCAGAGGATGGCGTAGGTGTGGAAGTCGGCGGTGGGGTCGAACCAGAGCGAGTGGCGCATCTCCCGGCCGCCGACGCCGTTGTGGTACACGTTGGTCTGGATGATGTAGGGCTCCCCGCTGCGGTTGCCCAGGAACTCGAAGTCCAGCTCGTCGCGCAGGGGCGCCGCGTCCACGTCGGAGCACATCTGCAGATCATCAGCGCCAGCAGCCATTCATCAGATGATGATCGCCGGAAGGAAGGACCGGTGATCGGAAGGAAAGAAGGAAGGAGCGGCGAGCCGGCGACGACGCACGTAGTAGGCGGTGACGACGCCCGCGGAGTCGTTGCCCACCAGCTTGAGCTTCATGCTGAACCAGCCGAAGAGGTAGCGCTGCTTCGTCTGGAACCCGACGCCTGCACGCGAACTCAAATGGGGATCGAGAGTGAGGTGAGCTGACTGACGACTGAGGCTACCTTTTGGCGGCATCCATCCCTGGTGACGAGTGAAGATCCATCCATCCATCGATCAAGCATTATTACCTGTCTTGTTGTCGAGGTAGAGGTACCATGTCTGCCCGTCGGCGGAGGTCTTGACGTGGTCCTCGGCGCCCGTGATCTCGAAGTTGTCCCCGAACGACGACGCCGCCGCCGCGGACGCGCCGTGGCAGCAGCAGTACGACAGCACCACCGCGACGGCGGCCGCGAGAGGAAGAAGCGCGCCCGCCCACGGCCCCGTCATCGGTCGGGAATGGGGAGAAGGCGAATCGAGCTGGCCACCGATCAGAGAGGCAGAGGAGGAGAGTGATCGAGTAGTGAAGCTGTGTGGGTTGGCTGGCTGGCACTGGCAGATGCTACCTTCGGGGTCGGGGCAAAGCACGAGGCGGTCTCGTGTCTTGTCTATCGGAGAATCAGACGGGCAGGAGCGCGTTTGTTTAGGCTAAGCTGCGGGTTTAAAGTTAGACACAAGTTGTGGGCGGGCCTCAAGAAGCGTGCAGCAAATTTGTGTCTTTGCTTTTTTATTTGGTGGAATAGCCAAATTAGTCCCTTGTCTTTTGTCTCAGACTCAATTTAATCCCTCAATTTTTAAATTAGTCAAAGTAGCCCCCATCTTTAACTTTTTGTCCAAATTCATCCTTGTGCTGACATGGAACTCCACGGTGGCAGCCCTAGTGAGTAAATGTGCTGGCATTGGCTTTGGTAAATAGGCGAGTCACTGGTAGAGAAAAGACCTTCAGTTTTTACCTTTAGTCTTAGCCAGAGTTGGGCCTAGGACTAAAGGGAGCATTAGTCCAGGTTGAAGCTACCAACATAGACTAAAATCGCCTGTCCAACGGCTAGCGCCGTAGGTATTTGCATGAGGGGACTTTAGTCCCGGTTGGTGGCTCCAACCGGGACAAGAGGATAACCTTTAGTCCCGAACTGCACCACCAACCAGGAGTAAAGGCCCATGCTATATATCCGGGTTTCTTCCTCCCCTAGCTCGAGCCATTTCAAGCTCTCTATTCGTGATGTGTTCTTGCTCATGGAAGAAGCTCATGCTTGGGGGATTTGTGAAGACTTCATTCCTCTATCCATTCTAAGGTTCTCAAGGTTAGCAACTTCATCCTGTCATGTTTAATTGCTAGTAAGCTCAATTCATGGTTTAGAAATAGAGAAATTTGTGGTATTTTTTTTATTGAAAATAATGGTGGATTTTTTTAATTTATACGCCATTTGAGCTCAAACTCACTTAATAGTTTGCATATGTAGAAGAAGAAAATTATAGTAGTTGATTAAAATGAGTATCCACCTTTCATTGCTGGTATATATAGCTCATTTCATGATTTAGAAATAGAGAAATCTGAGGCATTTTAGGTTGGGAATAATGGTGGATTTTTTTTATACGCCATTTGAGCTCGAACTCACTTGATAGTTTGCATATCTAAAAGAAGAAAGCTTATAGTAGTTGATCAAAACGACTATCCACCCTCCTTTGCTAGTATACAGCTCATTTCATGGTTTAGAAATGGAGAAATTTATAGTAGTTAATCAAAATGAATATAGAGTAGATGGCGACAGCTTCTGGATCCTCGGCCTCGCATGGGGTTTGTGAGCGACTAAGGCCGGACCTCCCTACCAGTGCGTGCGCAAATGTAGGAAGAAGACTGTGTTGGAGTAGAGAGCGAAGAAGCAGTGTCCGAACTATAGCCACATCTTCTATAAGTGTCCGGATCGCAACGTGAGTTCTCTTTTGGCCACGTTTTTATGGTTTGTAGCTATTTTTATGATGATTTTAATTAAAGTTCTTAACTAGGTGTTCTAATTTCAGTTGGATGGTACGGGATGTCTAGATGTAAAGGTTGGTATTGGGAGGAAGAGTACGTTAAGCACGTGCAAGAATCGACCGAGGCGACTAATGGGAGTGCACCTATGCATGAAGAGGGGAACCAGTAGAAGAAGCTCATCGATAAAGAACTGGCGAAGAATTTTTGTTTGTTTCAGTTGGAATCGGTCGTGAAATCCTTATTCTATTGAGGTGCATTGTAGGTTTAGTTTGTTTAGTGCTATTTGGGATTGTCTATATTGTATCAAGGCTTTAGTAAATTAATGATCAAGTCAAACAGCCGTGGTAGGATATTAATTAATCATGTTGTGTAACGGATATTTAGGACCTTTTAATTAATTAATCATGCATATTGTGTAATATATGGATATATTGGCATGTTCAAGTTTTTGATATGCTCATGTAATGCAGATGAAACGGTAATGGATATGCCAACGCTGACCGACGCTCCCAAGGGTTTATTGAGGGCGTGCATGATTTTCCTACGTGTGGTGACACATCAACATAAGGACGAAATTGAACCAAAATCGAAAGTTGAGGGAATAGTTTAACCATTTTGAGTGTTGAAGGGCTAAATTGAACTTGAGATGAAAGATGAGGGATCAATTTGGCTACTCTGCCTTTTTATTTTCTCTCTCTCTCTTCGGCTCGTTGCGGCTTGGGCGTGCCTGCGTGCGTGCGCCGGGTGAACCGTTGCAGCTCGCTAGCTAGCTAGGCGGCCCGACCGTCTTTCCCTCGAGTGGCTACAACGCTGACCACAACAACTTTTGTTCTTGTTTACTACGGAGTAGAATATTGCGAGCACTGGTGGAGGTGGAGCCTCAGATCCCGTGCGCATATCACATCAGGCAAGATGAGCCCATGGCCATGGTCCATTGGTCTGCTCCCTCCCTCAGCTCGATCGAGCATAATCCATCGCGCTGGATTCTGAAATCTGAAGCCCAGCAGCAGCCGGGCAGGAGAGCAGGGGAGAGTAATACAAGTGTTTATGGCCATTGGCCACGCAGCAGCCAACAACCTCGCATCGGGGTTTGCTCTTTGCTGCGGCGCGGCGTGGAGAGGCGACCGATCGCAGCGGCAGCTCGCAGGAGGACGACGGAAACGGACGATCCAGCGTTCGCGGCAGCCTGCAGCAGACTTGAATGCCTCCGCTGGGCCTGGGCCGGCGGGCGTAAGCATAAGGAAACACGGGGCCTGGCCGGCCGCCGGCTTGCTGACGCAGCGCTGCTGAGTTCTGACTACAGGAAGATGGGAGAGAGTCGGCCACCCGCTGGAGCAGGTCCGTGGCGTGGTCCCGGTAAACCGGCCGACCACTGCGCGGAGGACTGGAGGAGGGTGATAGGTTTTGACTCGGCTCCAGTTGGCATTCAGTTTTTGTTTTTTTTTTTCTTCAAAAAGGCGCCAAAAGTCGCTAGCTAGACAGATTTCACATGCTGCGGCCTGCGTTAGGATAAGTAGCGCGCAATTCGTGGTGGCCATGGCCAATGCACAATCCCCTGATTCGCTGTGTAAACGTACGAGGACTGTGCAGATAGTCTGGTGCGCAAAATTAATGAACAGTTGCCAGGTCTGGATCCACATCCACATCCCTACGTCACTACTCATCTGTTGGCCTGTTTGCGTTGGGGGTCCATTGATTCTGTTGTTGAGTTTTTTTCTTCTTCTTCCGAGTACTCTCTCCGTTCAGAAAAAGAAACAGACATCCATACCGGTTAAAGTAGCTCAATAAATAGTATTAATAGTTATATCTTCAAATAAATTTATTATAAAAATATATTTTATGACTAATTTAATGATATTAATTTTACATCAAGAATGTTAATATTTTTTTATATAATTTTGGTTAAAGTTTAAATTGATTGATTTCTCGGAAAGTGAGAATTGCATTCTTCTGTGAGGCAGGGAGTAGTTTTATCTTCTTGATTGTCCGGAGTGAGTGGGTGGGCTCAGTTTTTGAACGAACCACTAAGGACGTCCTCAGCGGCAAGATTAAATCGTCAGCTGAGTTGGAGGCTAAAAACAGTAAAGAAAAGAAAAGGCTGAGAGACATGTAAGCAGAGATCCGAGCTGAGAGAGGATACTTCTCTAGGGTACGTGCGAGACTAGCGAGTGTCCCAGCGCTAGCGCTGTGTTCTCTCCCCTCTGTGACCAATAGAAACTCATATCAGCGGGGGATTTCACCACCGTTGAGAACACCCTAACATATACTTTTCTAATGTTTTTAACTTTATAGAAAAAGAACATATTAACATCTACAATACTAAGTAACTGCACCATGAAGACATGTTTCATGGTGAATACTATTATCTTTACATAGTAAAAATCTTTGAATAGTAGGTTTGAAGTTGTTAGTTGATTCTAAAATATTATTCTAGAATCCAGATGTTTAGATCTCATTCTCATTTTTCCATCTCATTCCTGTTTTTTTTTAGAGATCCAAACACGGTCTAGATTAACTTGATGTCATAGATGTTGACATTTTCTATAAAGTTAATAATGTAATCTAATAAAGAGTATCAAAGATTAGAGTAGTATCAAAGATTAGAATACTAAATAGGTTTTGTTTAGGACAAAACTAAAACCTCCTGTATGTTTTGGAGTGCAATCTCTTTGGAATGCAGGGACTGCATCTTCTTTTTCTTTGGAAGTTGGAACAACGGATTTTCACCTTAATACCGCCTCATCTTTACATGCGGTGCATGAGGTTAATTAGGAACTGTTAAACAAGAGACGAGCTTTTCCTTTCAACCCTTCTTCGAAAGGTGTGCGGGATGCTGCTTTTCATGTAGGGCCTGAATTGACATACTACTACTAGTGATCCATCAACGAAGGAAGAGTGAATAAAGGGAAGGCCGCTGTTTCCTCCTGCGTGTGGTGCGCGATGAAATGACTATAAATAAATGAGCTAGATAGTACTGAAGAACAGCAAGGCGATGAGACAGAGAGTCACGTCTCATTTCCTTTTGTTTTCCTTTCTGATGAAAAGCTATGTGCGTTGGTGCATGTATGCCACCGTCACGGCGAGGAGCGATGGAGACCCGCAGGCCGCAGCAGAATATCGGGCTAACGGTGGTGGTCTCCGGGCCGGATTCAGGGCGGCCCTCCTGTCCACTGTGATGGACTGTGTGGGTGCCCCCCTCCACGTGGTCCCGGGAGGCCCATGTGCCAGAAGGCCACCTTTCAACTGGGCCGCACGTGAATACACACAACTAGGATAGATATACTATCCACTCAAAAAAAAAAACTATAGATGTACTAGGCCGGTGTCATCAATTGCTAAAGGAACTCCTCGCCGGACGCCGGGCCTACCAAGTACATCGCCGACATTAGCCAATTGTTTCTTAAAAAAAAGGCATTAGCCAATTGGTCTACCACTACCATTGCTTTAGCCATGCAAAACCCGTAATCAAGTTACT